GCATTGCTTAGCAAACAATTGCACGATCTTGAATCACGAATTCTGATTTTATGAACAACTTACGCTCTTCGATCATCATTGACGCTTATACTTTTTAATATAAAAACAGTTATTTTGAAACAAAATAATAATCAGACGCGCGATACACTTCTGCATGCCCAAATGAGAATCTGTGAAATGTTCAAGAAATCGTATGTGCATATAACAGTGATTAATTTATGTGCATTTTGCGTACCATTTGTCTCTGATACACACAGCGAACAGTGAGTCGCACATTAACGAGAAAATGCAGTCGCAGCGAAGACGACGCATTCTGAATTCCAATAAACCACATCGACCGCATTATTCTGTTTCCATCAGTTTCGAATTCTGTAACATTATCACAATGTTACACAAATGGCTGAAACCATAACTTTCGCGTTTATAAGCGCAAATTATTATCTGTTCAGACAAAATTTACGTGCACCGTAAATCTATATAATAGGATTAATGCACGTTGATGTTAAAACATTTCCGTACTTGATTGCAGTGAATATATAATTGTTAATGACTTTATATTAATTTTATATTATGGTTGTTTACGTTTTTCAGAACTTTTGTTTTTCAAAATCAGTTTTACCTCTGAATGTTTTTATAAAGTTACATAAAGTTTACATTAAAGTTACATAATACAAAACTTGTAAATAAATTCAAAAATATCTTTGTTTGCATTTAACATTAATTAATGTGTCTGCGTTTGCGTTGAAATAATTAAGTGTTAAGTCAGCACGCATTAGCGTCAACTATCATTTCGTAATTACTTACATAACATCGACGATCGCACTATTATTTGCAGAGAAACGCTTTATTGACCGCGCTAGGCCGGTCTTTTAACTGGTATTATCTGCATGTATACGACGCACACGCTTCGTTCTATTCTAAAAACGTGATCCGAAAGCCGTATCGGCATTGCTGTATCCCGGAAATTGCTGATAAAAAAATTTGTTTCGCGGAGCACGTGCCGCCAGTTTCGAACAGACAACTTTAAAGACGTAGTTATCAACGCTACTGTGCACGCGGCTCAGTGATAAGCGTCTCGCCTACCTTTAATAACTTTTAACAACCTCGCGCAACTTTTAATAACTTGCCTGTCCACTTGCGTCGTAGCGGAACTTGGCCCTTAGCCGCTTGGCGGGATGCAGCTAACACTCGCGTTTACTTCTCTCTTAGCAGGAGGGTGGTGCGTTGTCGATGACGGAGATGAAGAAATCATTGAGCTTCGATCAAGTGTCCCATGGCGGGAACACCTAGCACAGGCCTCATTCTCACCTTCGTCCTCAGCAGCAGCAGCAGCAGCAGCAACAGCAGCAGCAGCAACAGCAGCAACAGTCACAGCAACAGCAACCGCCACCGTGCAAAGTCACCCCCACGCACACACGTCACACACACTGCCACTCACATTCACATCTACACAGCCACCATGCGCACAAACACCAAGCACCTCCGCTGAGGCAGAGACGGGGCTCTTCGGACATCTTGGGTCAAGGTATGATCGCCTATCGGCCACAAATGTCAATATAATCCCACCCTATCGTATGCTAGCTTGACCGTTTCCGTTAAATTTGTACGGCTTAGCCGTGTATCATGGATGCGATTCTAACAAACTTGGCAATGTAAAAGGAACATTCTAAGATGATAAAAATTGCTATTATTACATAGACTATTTCTGATTATCTATATTTTTGATAATTGCACAATTTATTGGAATATATTTTTTATTCCTTTCGTCAAAAATACGTGCCTGTGCTTGGAATGTAAAATAAATTGCAACAAATGCGCTAGAATAATAAATATCAAATCGGAAATGTGTAAGTAGAACGCAGTAGTTTTTTTTTTTCAATAATGAAAGAGTTTAAAGTTTTTCAATAATTGAAGAGTTTAGATATAAAATTTACATTTTTCACGATTTTTAGTTTCATAACGTAAGCAAATGTAACGCGAGTACAAAGTTCTTTAAAATTATAGTTTAAAGGCCATAAAACGTAAATTATAGATTCGAGCCTGTCTCATCAGTTCTTATCGTAAAACGTACAATATTGTTTATGCTTATGTAATCTCAGGATGTGCTTAAAAAATCTCTGATGCTCGCGATACATTTGATTGAATGTAGTGAAAGAAGTATCTTACACATCTAAAATAAAAAAAAAATTATAGTATAAAAAAGCCGATAGGGAATCGAAGATACTTACTCAACGTAGCTTTACTGAAGTGAATTATTAACTGCTGCATTAGGAGGTGACCACCCTGAGAATATTCTCTGGAGATTCGACTCCGACCTAGCGGGTGAACCGGACATAGTTATCTCTCCGCCACCCCCGCCGCCCGCGCCACCCTCGGCGACGGTCTCGAGGAACACGACTCTTTGACCAATACTCGAGGAAGTACCGGTAGGTGTGCCCGCTCACAGGCAACTGCTCACACAGGCTTCGGTCGTTTTCAACGTGTCCGATCATAAGGAGACGTGCTTATAGCACATATAGTCGCCAGGGCGGGTTGGTGAACCGCAACGAGGGCCATCCCGCGCCGACGACGATGCTGGATCATCATCCATCGAAAGCGTGCAAACGTAAAAAACTGAAGCCGAAATTACCATAATGCGGACGAGTGCGCCGAGTAACGGAGATAGTGCTTTTCACAAAATACGAATTTCTTCGACGCGCATATGCAACGCGCTCACATATTGTTTTGATCAAGCGTTCGCGTAATAAGCTCAATGCTCCGAGGATCCGGCGTATTACGCGCCGACATGATTCCGCGATGTATATTCACGAAAGTATCGATCGGATTAGCGCGGACGCAAGTGAACATACGTTCTAATCGGAATAGTGAAATCTGTGTAGCTGCTATGCGCGTCTGCTGGTGGAGGAGGCATCAACGAGGAAATGTTTCCTGAAATTATTGGTATCTCACGGTGAATGCTCGCCGATCTATGAAGACAACGGAATGCCATTTTCGCGAGCGACACGTATCCCGCCGATAACTGATGGAAACGTACGTTTGACTAGCAAATCGAGCCTGGATCGAAATCAAATTGAAAAGTGCCAGTGCGTGAGAATCACGAATCAATCGGGATAATAGGAAGTGCATGGAAAATGAAATGCCACGCGCAATGCCAGTTGACCAGGAATTGCTCGTGTTTCGGAATTTCCCGAGGCAACGGTAGAATCGGTAGTGGAACGAATGTTTGTTCGAAGTGTTCAACCAAATCGACCGGAACCGGACTACAATGCTATGCATGTTAGCGAAGCGCAAGCGTAAGCCGAAATACTATAGCCGAATTTCAAGTTAAACATATCGAAGTGGGTTTAAAATTATCAGCGAAGCTTGTCAAAGGCCGGTTTTCACACATAGAAATGTTATACCGACTGTATCGCGACCTGTCGAAGCTAGATATTATACGCGAAAGCCGACAATAGATCATGAAACATCATTTATTGCGAAATAGCTAACAAAGTATAGCTAACAAAGCAATTATCACTTGATTAATTGCGAATAATATATAATTCACAGACATTAATTGGTCGTGATATGGTCGGATTGCGGTTTTTCGTGCAGTTCTATATGTGAATATGAGCGTTAAACCGATTGCAAGATCGCTGACACGGTCGCATGTCAAAATCAACGTCTATTGGAATACAATTTCCAGTGACAATAATTTCAGACCGCAATTTTGCCAGTATTACCATAATACTTGTCGAATGAATATTTTACCTCTCGCGAAAATCTCGATCGCAGTTGCGACACAGGCGGAACCAATAGACAAGTAAATCGTAGACTGAACAACTAAATAGAACTTTCATACGCGATGACAGGCATAGCACCGGGCAATAAAACATCGGCTGTATCATATGACTCGGACCAAATTCAGATTAGTAATCACTGCCAATTTTAGCCTAAACAAATGTCAAAGCGGCCAATAATTTTGGGCAAAAACGAACAACAATCGAATTACAAAAAACAAATACAAACGCTTAGAAATTCTGATAATAAGAAATATAACATTAACAATTTAATAACTAATTTATTAAGTTTATTCTCTCACACACATATAATTCGCAGAATGCGATTCAAATTTAATAGAAACTTATCATATTTTTAATTTGCTTATAAAAAATTTTTCAAAAAATTAATCTCAAAGTTCGAGTCATGTAACAAAATTACAATAATATAAAGCAAACAATTTTTCATTAAAATTTTATTAAAATAATACAATAATAATATTTAAGCCTGTATTTTGTATATTTCATAAATTTCATGGAAATTTCTTTTTTAATTAAAACAATGAGCAATTTAGTGAAAGTAGTCTTTTTTAAAGGAAACATTGGCAGTTTGCAATTTGCATTTGAAAGACCAGAAATTGAGTCGTAAGATACTTCAAAAGATAAAAAAAACAAATACGATCTTTATGGCATTTAGCCGTTGTATTATATAAACAAAATAGTACATTAATTGTTGAGAAGTGATTTATATATAAATCTTTTGTATAAATATATGTGCAATTTATAAATACACTTAACGCAAATATATGTAAAAAATATGTATATGAGTGTATACGTGTGTACATATATACGCATGTGTTGCGCGCGTGCGGTAGATGAGAAAATTTGTCGAGAGCGTGCGAGTGCGCCAAAAGACCTAGTCATATTTTGACACAATCGAGAATAGTTTATTATCATTGATGTGTGTACAGCGTGTGTTTTTCACGGGAAAAAAAAAAGAAAAGTGAGTAAGCCGATTAAACTGTACGACAGTTTTTAGCTGCACGCCGCGGTGTTTCGTATTGTGAATATATTATATTATATGCGTACATCGCTGTTTGTTGAGAAGATTACGTCATACAGTGAATTTATTAATATGTTATTAGCCGTTGGACAAGGAGGGTGAATATATAAGTGTGTATGTATGTGAATACTTAACTGGAAAGTATGCTGCGCAAAAAAAAAGGAAACAGAGAAATAATTAAAAACGTGTGAGAAAACAAAGAATCTATACTGCCATTACATTTAATAAGCATTTCGCGACACATTTTCAATTCAATATATTTACACGGCTGCAATACGCGTATCTACGTTGCACGGAACATACAGTTCAAACGCGATTGTTGTAGAATTGATCAACAAAATGCGATGGCTCTATGTCTGCGAAAATGATGTATAGATTTGCAATTGAACAAAACCGACATCAAAATATGCGCAATAGTGATCGTGTTTTCCTATTTGCATGAAAAATATTTCACATGTACACTTTTGTGATAGCTTCTATCGACATTTCTTCTAAAAATTGAAATTTGGAATACGGTTGAATTTTGTTACAACATTGTGTATCTCACAGCGGAATTCAGCTTTATATTTCTTCCTTGCGTAAAGATGAAAAAGACGAATGATGTAAAATAGCAGTTTGAGCTAAAAGCTGACAATGATCGATAAACTGATAATCGGAAACTATCTGTAAAAATGTTTATATAAATGTTCATCAACAATGTGAACAAGAAATATCTGGATACTTTCTTTACATCGAAATAAAAGGTTTGAACATTGATTGTATAATTTTAGTATAATGCAGAGAATAAACATTTTCGATGCTCTTGAGATTTTCAAGAAAATGTTAGCAATATTGGCAGATTGACAACAAATTTGATCGAATTCGCTCCTAATCTGCTAACATTGTTAATATTTGATTATCTGGGCTCCTTAAAAATAAGTAAATAAGTAAATCTTAATATAAGTAAAAATTTTTTATAATTGTTTTTTTTAACAATTGCGGAATTAATTATAAAAAGAACGTAACAGCAGTAGCAATATTTGTGAAAAAATAACTTTAAATATTTAAATGAAAATATTTAATATTTTCATTTATGAAAATTGATGAATAATTTTACAATTGCATTTCTCCATGACAAGTGATTCTGTCAGCACGGCACTTCATGAATAAGATGACAAGTCAATACGATGTTCCATCAATCACAACAAACTTCTCAACAGGATATTTCGAAGTATCCGTGCCTACGACCATCCATCCACGACCACCACTACATTGTTTATGCCAATCTCATTCTACATCCGCATCCCCGACAAATCTACCGGCAAGATATCACGATAGTGCATCCAATCGATTTTAACAATCCGAAATGGACTATATTCGCCGGATTTCGAGGAAACTGTTTCATCAGATCTGGAATCGTACATAAACGGATATCCGCGCAACAAAGAGGATAAAGCAGTCTTTCACTGAAATGCATGATTGGACAACTCTCAGATTCTCTAATCGGATCAAAGATTTGATCCTAGCTTGGAAGTTTCAGATAGTTAAACAGTTTGGATAATTTCGATTCCAAAATCAAACACCAAATAGTTCAGATCTTTCGAGCTAAAGGCGTCAATTATGCCTTTGAGTTTAAAATGTTTCGAGATAAAACGTTTTTCATCTAAGTATTTGTGCATTAGCATTATTGGTAAAAAATTTTAAATGTCTAATGTATTCATTAATTTACATATTATTTAAATTTTTGTTACTATTTTGTACATTTAATCTATTTTACAAATGCGTTTTTATGAAACGCTTAGAAATGCCGAATTATCAAACATATGGCTTTGAGTCATAATATGCGAATAGTTAAACACGATGCGCACGATCCGATAATGCCTTCGTAAATTAGAAGGCATTATCGATGACTGTATGTGTATATCTGAACAGTTTGAACTTCACCATATATGATACTTGATGACTTAATACTCATCTTATTTATGTGTGTTGCAAATTTATATTATGCGTTATAGGTATCTACTCAATATTGTAGCAGAAAAACGCGTTTATACTTTTTCGATGAGCGAACAATTTTATATCATTTTATTTTCCAAAGTTTTCTGATTTCAATTGTTTTAATAAAATAAATATTACATTTATTTTAGCAAATTTTAGCAGTAATTGGCGAATTAGACGCAAAGTATAATTTAATAAATAAATAATAATTAATAAATCAATTTAATGCAAGGTGTGATGTGCATTCTTTTTAATCGCATTGTTATTTGATATATTATTGTGATGAAAAACTTTTAACAGTTACAGATAGCGGTAAATGTCGTTAACATAAAATACCACTATTAATGCCAATGTCATTTCAGAAATGTCATATCGCTAATTGCGTACATTTTGTGCTTCGAAATGCAGCGTCAAATTGTCGGGAAAAGGCTAAATCGTCATCCAAGTGGGCATGTTACAGCCACGTTATATTGAAAATTGCATTTGTTTAGTCATATCGCTTTAAAGAGAATACGTTAAAATCCAGGTCATTCCTCGATATTTGAGAGGACTAGGAGAAAAATAAGAGAAAGGCACGTGGAACGTAATCATCTCTAGAGCGAAGCTCTAAGCTTTTAAGAAAGCTAATTATTAATAGGTACATTTAGTTTACGATTTATTTTTTGAAATAACTCTCACGATACGTGCTTCCAGATACGAATAATAAATAAAAAATATATTTAGAAGAACATTTAGTAAATTAATAAATTTGTTATCCGCTCTATCTTCAATTCTTTTGTAAATTAACAAATTTAGTATATTCACACTTTTTTAATTCTCACTGAGAAATAATTCTCTTTTGATTGATACTTATCTGTCATAAAATACCTATTACACCAATATTTAAATTGCATCTTTACGTTTTTGCTGTGCGCTGCAATTACGCGCTGAATGCTAAATAAATACATTGATGCGAAGAGACCGTAGAAAGCAGAAAAATTTTCAATATTGCTTAACGAGACCCTGGAACAAACGATCCTCTTGCATCAACTCTCTTTCCTCTCTCCGTTTCTCTTCCTATTTTTTGTCTTCCAAAGCACTGAAACCAATTGAAAGATCCATTAATGCCTCAGTGCTCTTTAAAGCAGGTGTCATCAACGATCCTTACTTTTCTTCAGCTTGACACAACTACGAGCATTTGCGCCGATTATTTTTGGTATTTCGATTTGTTAACAAATTACAAAGATAAAAACGGGATTTATCGCAGGCTATTCATTAGCAATATTAAATTAAGATAACGCGTAAATTAACAAAAATATAAAAATACACAATTCGCGAAAAAGCACATCTATCACTTTTAACAATTATTTCTTCATTGTTGATTGCCATCTGTCTTGAGTAATTTCATTGTATATCAGTATACGTGTATTTGTAAAATGCACCAGTATATTTACAGACTTTATTTCTTTTAAACGTATAATTCTCGTTTATTTAATGAGAAGGTTGAACAAGAGTACTACATGACTGAACAATTTTTTTATTAATTTTTCTGTTATTAATTCAACAGCAAAATGAAGAAAGAGAATTTTATCAATTAAATTTATTCAATAACATTTCACAAAATAATTAAATATAAGAATATTTTGGGATATAATGTTTGTACTGCAGTTATATATATACATATTTCTAGAATTATTTTAAGTTGAAAAATTTAAATATTTATGAATACACTTTGTGAAATGATTGTGTAGATAAAGAGACAAACAGTAATAATTTATAAACTAAATGTACTTAGTACACATAGATATATATAAATATGTGTATAAATACAGATATATCCATTATTTTTGTCAAATATTATATAAAACCATTAGCCATTCTGATTTATAGAGAGATTATTTGAAAATGAAAATCGTAATTACGCTGTTTGTAATCTTGCATTTTATATGAAACATATTAAAATCCATAATATCGTATGTGTTTATTACCGTTGGAAAAATGTTATTCAATTTTTTGAAGCAAAAAATTTTTTGATGCCAAACTTGATAAACGACTGCGAATCTCCTCCCTCATTTTTACTTTCTTTTACAATAATGTGGCTGCTCAATCAAGTTGATTGCGTTCCTTTATTTTCAATAATCGTATCGTTAAGTGAGGCCTGGCCCGCCTGGTACCTGCAAAATTTACGAGCGTATGTCAGGAATTTCCCGGGAGAGTGTCGGTTAGTTTGGATATCGATTGACAAACAGGACCTCTTATTAACCGTCCCGCTTGGATATCTGATCGAAAAGCTTCCGCTGACAGGTCCGTCGGCAGGAGCCATAGATAAATCTACGCAAATCCCACCCCGTTGATTGATAGAGCCTAGAGCTATCATGACATATATAGTCCCTTGACGATGATGGGACGTTCCGTAATTTTCCTAATATCTCGGTGCACGCAAATACACGCGTGCTATCATATTACTTCATCACATACTCTGTGCTTGTGAATACACAAGGTTTAGATTCATCTTCGATGCATCTCAATTAGTAATGATGATAATCGATACATCTCACATTGTGTATTCACATATGAATGGCACACAAATTGTTACAGACAAACCTGAAATTTTCGTTTTTCCGGATTAAATTAATTCCATACGAAAGCTAAACAGAAAATGCTTTTATAAAATGTAATATTCTGAAAGCTCTATTGTTGTGTGTAAAAATATTATTACATTAAAACATTTTATATTATTAATAAAATGTAACAATAAGCAAATACTAATTTTCCAATAATAAATTAATATCAAAAATGTTTTTTTAAAAAAAAAGACAAGCATAAAGATATAAAAACAGTTGTATGCAACAGAAAGTTAAAAAATATTAATTAAAATACATATATTCAACATGTAACTTAAATAAAATCGTGGTTCTAATTTTTCTCTACGCTTACTTATGTTAATCTGTTAGCTTTCCACGCGTTGTTATAGCGTGTTGTCTTGGTCATATATGAACTTTTACTGCTACTAATCAGCTGATCAACTGATCGTAGTACCGTACTAATTACATAACGGCACACACGTACTACGCAAGCACATATGCGCGCTGTGTTCATTATAACTCATTCATATTGTGATACGTGCAACGTATTTTCAAAACGTTATAACTCGGTAACAAATTGACAATGATAACAAAAACGACAAAACAAATATCAAATAAAGACAAGTTCATCCACATTTCATAAAATGGTGCAATAATACAAAATTTCGATTCAAAATATGAAATACATAGATTAATAATAAATCCTTTTTAAAAGGAATACATCTTTTTCAATATTAACTAATTATAAAATATTATTTTTCAATATTAATTAATTTTCAATCTTAAAGCAGTGGATATTCGCATGCTAGTCTATTATTATAACAGAAACATACATCAATCCATTTTCTAATTACATGTCTAAGCTACGAGGCAAGAGTTCTAGGGTTAATTAACAACAGGATACTGTTTCGGGGATACACTTACCAGATATGTACATATACATATATATATATATATATTGTATTATATTCTAGTGTTATAGACTCTTAAAAGTAAAGACTCATTATGTTACAAATAACGGTAAAAATAAAAGACCAGCCAAATATGGATAATTGTGAATGCTATTAGCAGTTATAATTTCAATTTATTTTTAACAAAGTTCACAGGACATTATATATTAAAGACTCTGAATTTACAATTGCCACATACAGTTACCATATAAATTTGAAGAGAGTCATTCTAAAACGGTATTTCTTCGCACATGAGAAAATTTATAAAAAATAAGAAGAGCTTTTTATAATTTAAATAATACTTTTTTAAATATGTTAGGTGCGTTGTACAATTTTTATTGATAGATTCTTATAACTTTGATAAATCATGACAATTATGTTTTAAGACAAAACTCCGTGTAAAGTAAATAAACGTTTCACAATGATTCCTCTCCTTCGTCTGAACGTGACATATTGAGGTACAAGATCCACTTTTTACAAGCTGATAAACATTCAATCATTTACAAGATGAAGGACGCAGTCTCTGCTAATTCCGCTTTCCTTTAAGGATGCATTTACACGTTCCAGTCTCTTCGGTGAATATCTTTAAAGAACCAAATTAATCGTGAGGTTGAGATTAAAAAGTAAATAAGAAAAAGTCAGATATTTTTTTACCCGCTCAAAACTACTTTGTATCCTCTATGGCCAGATGTTTGCATAGCTTTATCAAGTAATTCATACAATCTCGCCACCGATTCGTTGGCGAACACATGCACCAGATATATAGTGCTACCGGTTAATGATCTAACTTTCAATCGCAACTCGCCAGGCTTTCCAGTCGCCTCGTTAACCTGATGCAATAACGGTGCCTGAAAGCGCAAACGTTAGATTTGCAAGTGATTAATGTATGAATGCACCTTATTTCTAGTAAAACGCAATTTATTTGACTTCCCGCGCGATTGGATACATTTCTCACCATACTCTTCCTCGCGCAAGTAGCGGATTTTGAGTAACGAGGATGTTTCGTCGCGGAACATCCGGCGATGGGATTGGCGATCTTGAGCTGACCGACTTTATTGATTTCCGCTATGCTCGATGCCTTTGGCCGTAACACCGATTGCATGCCAACACCTAATCGTTCTCCCGACAAACTAGCGGATCTCGAACGCGGTCGAAGGTGGTTTCCGGCGGTGTTCAGTCGACTGGAAAAATTTAATTCGATTAAATAAATGGTACTATAATTCAACAGGATAAAGATAAATGTCAGTTCTATTTTTTATTTATCTCGGGGAAAACCTGAATGATGATCTGTTGGAACAACTGTGATATTTTGTCCTGCTATTACTGGAAAGTTTCAAAGCATCTCTCAATTTGGATGACTGCTCTTCATTTATAGATATATCGTATTCCGTATTTTTTGTAGCCAGTTCTCTCTTTTTTAAAATAAAAATATTTATAATATTTGAACATTTTAATAAAACAGAAGTCGCTTTACCTTTTCTCGCCGACTGCTTCGTGCTAATTCAGCGTTAATATGAGACTGAAGGTGAGAGTGAGAACAAACGTTATTGTGCGAGGCTAAAATTTGCGATCTCAGAGAATATAAATCGACAGAAGATGTTTCCGAAGAGGCCTTAAACTTCGGTAGACTAGCAGAAGGTATGGGAAATAAAAAGTATTCTATTAGAAATAGAGTATTCTATGCGTTATATAAATTTGTTAACAGTTATAGAATATTTCATACATAATTGTAAAGAAAAATTAATAAATTTGCTTGCTTTTGACATTTAAGTTTTATATGAAAATATAACAAGCAAATGCTTATAAATTTATTTATTTTGTTTAAATAATGATACCGGCTTGTTGGAAGAGATAAAAGCGGAACATTCGGAAAAGTGCAAGTGTTATCTGTTGTTGAAGGATTAGCACAACCAGGTCGTTGAAGAATATTATTTGACCTGCGTAAGCTCGCCGATAACAAGTTATCTGCTGGCGATTGCTTCCCCAAGCGATATCCTTGACCAGGAAAGTTAGTGGAGTCGCCTACGTATAATTCTGTTCTATGATCTTCTATCTGTAAGGGTGAGTAAAAATTTAAATATATATCTCAAAATTGATTGTAAAATATTTAAACGGCGGAAAGTTGCAAAGTTGTGTGGAATAGCGATCAATTAAAATTTTACTAATAATGTGGAATAGCGATCAATCAAAATTTTACTAATCGATTTTGCATTCGTCAGAAAAATCGCAACAGAAAAAAATATAAACTAATATATTTTAAAATATTTAATGATTTACCGTAAAGGGCACTCCATCAGGAAACTCTTGTTGCAATTCAGATGGAAAGTAACCATCTAGAATATCGCGTATGAACGAAGTTGTAAATGGAGCATCATAAGATCGTAACGGCCCTCCTTTGACGGTCATACCGTTTTTATATAATCTTAGTGCTATGCAGACGGGTGTCTTTAATGAAAAAAATGCCAATTAATAAGCATCATCAGCATAAGCAGTCACTAATTTTTATTTTAATAATTAATTTTTATTTTATTTTAATATTATATATTTTTATTTTTATTTTAATAATTAATTATTAATAAATATTTTTTCTATTTATAGATATAAATTAATGTATTTGATATTTAAAATATTTATATTAATATATTTGATATTTAAAATTGATATTATGGCAAAAAGATATGTTGAGTAATTTTAATTAATAGAAGCATAAATGCATTACAAAATGAAAATGTTACTTTAAAAGTCGCTCCGCCTCCTTTCTCGTTATGATGAATGTGAACTTCGCCCTTTCCAGCAGCTAGGTTTAACTGATCGATATTTACAACTAGCTGATCATAACAGGCATCGATATAATTACTACAATAAAATTACTGATAATTAAATCGATTACTTTTGCACCTTAATTAATAATGTTTACTCTAGTTACTTGCTACCAGCGTTCTTCGTCGTCACGTTTTTCGTATCGCCGATCCATATCAGTCCGTAATCACTTAAGAACTTTTACAATATCCAAATATCACAATTGCTAAAACTGCTATTGACAAGTAAATATATTTAAAAAATAAATTTAAACCTCCATTTCATGAATCTTGTGCTCCAGTGTGAAACATCGTTGATAGAAGTATTCGGAATTGGTGGCTTGATTTTGTTGCTCCTTCCTTCGTAAGAGTTCCTGATTTTTATATTTAGTTTCCCACTCTTTGATCTATATCAAAATTATATATTAAAAAATATAAATCTTACACTACATATAAACAAAACAAATAGCACACACAACGAAATATCAATCTGCGAATAAATTTACCGAACGTCAAATAATTTAATAATACGGAGTAAAAACTAGTTCTTTGTCAAGTTAAATATAAATGTAAATTTGGATTTGAATATGATAATTCTAAATTTTGGAAAAAAAAGAGCGTACAGAGAACCTTCCGCTTTAGGCGCCCAATTTCTTGATCTTTAGTTCGCAATCCTTCCTCGGCTTTTGTCAGAACGGATTTCATTTTTCGCATTTGTGACTCAGCAAGATATAATTGCTTCGTCAACATACCGATAAGCTCACTTTCTGGAATTAACACATTTTGAGATAGTAAAGAAAAGTATGATGTTAAATATAGAAATTATGTACAAAGTTCAAAACTCTCTTTAAAAATGCTGATAAATCTTTGTGTATTTAAATATAAATATAAATATAAATATAAATATAAAATATAAATAAAATATAAATAAAATATAAAAATATATACAAATGATAAGTTAATTACAATAATAATTAACTTATCAACGCACATATATAATGTTATATTTAAAGGAAAAGGTTTCGATTCTAAGTGTAAAGAAAGTTTAGGATTACCTTCTTCGATTACGCCATTTATAGGAACGGAGTTTCTAAGCATCTTGGGAGTATTGTTCCATAATTTTCTCGCGGAAAAATTTGCGTTAGAAACCTGACAATAACAATGATAATATAATCCGACATATTTGTTGGCATTTTATATGTGTAAAAGATATCACACAGCTACCGTTTTGTTGATTCGAGTCGAAGATTTGCAATAATTGAGCATTTTGCTGTCTTCCAATGAATCTGTCTTGAGATTTAGAGAATCCTTTGTGGTTTCTGATATGCATGTTGATGAAGGCAATGTTTTCAATCTAGAATATTACGTTATTTTCCCTTAACGAATAATATGCTGGATAGTAGCGAGCAAAGTTTTTCATCGTTCTGAATATGACATTCCAATGTAACCTACTTGCAATTACTGTCATGTGACAGACTTAAGGGATTCCTTGGATTCCTTTTTTTTGGCTGAATTGCGGGATTTGTTTGGTTCATGTTATGGTTGATGGCATTAATTAATGGATTCGACAACATTTACATAAATTTTCTTACGTCGCCAAAAAGTTATTCGTCCGAAGTTGTATTTATAATATGCGACGCAAGAAAAATCGATTCCAATTCAATATGATGAAAATAACGATAATTATCATATAACGTAACAGCAGAAAAATTTTTTATTTACATATACTTTTTCTTACTTTGAAAATTAAACACTAGAAATATAATAATTCCGTTTTACATTTTACGTCAATATTTTTCTGTGTGATAATTAGCGAAATATCTAATACAGTCATTAAGATTAATATATTTCATGAGTATAATTTAACATTAGCAAATTTCGAAGTCCTTGTTCTAATTGTACAAAAAGATTTATGTCTTAATTACGTTTTAAAATATGTAGTAAAAGTAAAAAAAAGACCTTCATTGAATCGACTTGACCCATAAATTATTGTTAACTATGTGCAATAACATAGGTACACACAGTCAAATTGAAAAATAAAAAATGATAGCTCTTACAACATTTACATTGCAAATTGAAAGAATATATATATAATAAGAACATAATAAACATATATTATTTTAATTATCGTAAAATATATTATATACGAGAACCTAATTTAAACATATAAAAAAATATATTTACATATAAATACATAAAAGTTTACATATTACAATAATTACATACAAAATGCATACATGTAGATATGTAAATAAATTTTACATACAGAGTATTTTGCAAATATTTAAATACTGTTAAAACCAAACTTATTTTTTGAGTCAGATTTTTTGAAACTCACGAAAACATTTTTCTTAACTTAGAAGTCGTATTTTCTCAATTACGAAAAAGATAACAAACTACATTTAAGTAGAACCTACAAATATACGTTCCTAAAAATTTATTTATTTATAAAAAACTAATTTTAATAATGAGCATTGCAAGCATTGCAAGCATTGATACAATCTCATTGATGAGTCATACATCCAGTTCCGCATGTCGCGCGCTACAGCTCTTCGCGTCGACGCAACTCTCGATCGATTGCAGTGCATCGCTTGGGCACAGATCACGTGACACTGCGGCGGCGCAATCGTCATCAATAGAGCCGACGACGACGAGTAGCAAGAGGCTCATCAGAGGTTCATCGCGCCGGCGATCGTGTTTCTGGTGTGACGTTTAACCAGTGCTGTTCGTTTCACCTCGCCTTGTTTGACCGCTTTGTCGCACCCGTTCTCTCGGTTTTATCGCAAAACAAAGTGCCTTCTTCACTTGCCAACGCGAGTGAATACGACGTTGCGGCACTAAATAATCGCCTCGTGTGCCGCCGCGTGGATGAAAATGCCGCGCAAGAGAACGTTCACACTTCACGAAGTGTTCGCTGGACGCAGAAACGGCACGAAGGTAAGTCCCGCTCGTCTGTCCTTTAATTTGCGCGATTCTTGTGACTTGTCACTCTTAAAAACAGCCGATAGACCATGTGGTGCTTCTCACAATAAGGAGGTCAAAAAGTTGGTTTAACCTCTAAACGGTTTGCAGTGCCTATGACTGACTCCGATAACATAGTTTCTCGAGAGTCATTTGCGAACTATATTTTTCGCGAACTGCATCAATCTAACATTGTAACGTTTCTTAATTGACACATATTCCTAGACTTGTAATTAAAAATTAAATATGATTGATGAACATGTAAAAAATATTTGTCCTTGTTTCTCTCAAATATTTTGAAGTTTATTGCTGTATGTATTCGACACTGCTACAATGACTGACTGACAAAATTTTTTCTTCTTGAACAATGCTTTGGAATAATTTTCTGTGTAGTTAGAATCTCCCATTGTTGTCTTCTGCATATAAAAATTGGGATTATCTAACAGCTTGAGAGAGAACAAAGGTGACCTAAGGTGACATTAGTGTAAAAATTGTAGAGTTGTTCTGATGATTAAGTGTCATTTGCGAATAACATGGTTTTACAGCTTTCACTTAACATATTCATCGAATAAACTGCAATTTTGAATATCAAATGTTAAAATTTTCTATCAAAATCAATATAAGTCATTAAACGAATATGTAGATACATTTGAATTATTCATGATTAGTTCTATAATCAAACGAAAATCGGACATATTTATTTAATTATAGGAAAACTACTTTCAAAGTACAAAAAATGTTTATTAAAAAAATATATAGACAAATAAATAAAATAGCATGCAATAGTAGTTTACAAAAAATTGAATATAATTAGATGAATATCTTATAAGAACTATATTTAAATTTCGCGAACATTTACTATGATTCTTGGAAACATTTTAAAAAATTAGAAAAAAAACAATAACATTATTAACATTAAAAGTACTTATAAAATAAATTGAAAACGAATGTTTCTTTAAATGAGATTGAAATAAATAATCAGGCGAAGCATATATTTATTCAGATGATTACAGATTAAATATTACTGAATTTTTAAAAATACTCATTATTTCTAAAAAGATAAATAATATATTTCCAGATCCAACATATTAATGTATTGACACACACATTACATATATTAAAAACATCCATATCTTTGTATCTACAATAAATTAAAATTCAATTTAAAAATCTCAAATGATTTCCTTGTATGTAAATGAGTTTGTTTGCAATTTAGTCACGATTGCAGATAATATCCTTGAATTATGTTATGTAATCAGAAAATTGTTAAGCAAAAAGGTCAAGATTTGCTTTGATACCTGTTGCACAGCTGTTGTAAAAATATGATAAACTGCTAAGTCACTGCATTTTCTTCCACTGTATTACGTGTCATTTTCTTTATTTGTTAATAATATATATTTTGTTAATAAATATATATTTGTTAAAATAAATATTTACAATATACGTTATATGATCTTTTTTGTGTAACATTATATTGTATTTTATTTGGCAAACGTTTATTTGACAGCTTGATATGAAGAATTTAATTTGCGATTGTAATATTATACTTACGCAATGGTATGTAACATTCTATTTCTTAGAAATGAAACTACAATGAATGCGCTGCATACACAATTATATCCGCGTACGCTTTCATGCCAGCTTCGAGCTACAATTCCATTGGTCGAGCTGCATGACCCGCCTTGATTATAAAGTTGATAAGGTCAACTGTTTGATAATTAAACCCAATAATACGAACGGAGAAATTTCTTCTTGAACACTTGATGATAAATTGAGGAAAGTACTATAAATCATTAAACTTAATTGGCCCAAATTATTGCGCAAAATTGTACTAATATATACATATTTCACTAATTCTTATATCGTAAATAAAGTAACACGCACATTAAGAGACTCTTGAGACTAAGATCGAGCAAAATATGTATTAATCGTGTGTTTTTATAATGACAAAATATCGATCGATGAAACAGTTTGTATGTCTCATCGCGAAGAATATACTTCAAAATGTTCTAAGCGCTTGAAATAATTTATGAGTATGTGTAATACACTTTATATCGACAACTGCATATACATACATACTATCTGTAGGAAAAATAGTGTAAATCCTTATCATAAATCATGCGAAGACTTGTCTGTATCGTCAGAGAGATATGAATGACTAATGTTTTCCTAGATACACCTGTCATTCTAGCAGTTTTAGTTTGCCCCTAATCATTATCTTTGGTAGAGTGGTCAACTATTTATTTCATCGATCAGAAACTGTCAAATTATGAAAAATAAAATTCTCGATAGATTATGAATTTTTACAAAATGATATGCGCCAATTTCGCATATTTTTGCTGCTTATTTTCGTCGATCTGAATGCATCTCTTTCAAAATTATTTTTTAGAATTGTTTTATCGGAAGAATGTTAAGATTGTCGGATCTGTTACTAACAAGTTCAATTAGTTGCATAACTGATGTAACACATTTCTGAGTTCTCACGTTCATTTAACCTGATTCTTACATAAAATAATCATTTGAAAGTCATGCTGTTTGAGAAACATAATTTTTTTTTTTAAGTTATATCTTACAGACTCCGTTAATAAGTATTAATGATGACGTCTTTGATGATTACTTTGTTATCGCATATGCTCATTTATCATACTACTAATATTTTTTTTTGAGAAGTTAATCAAGCATGTCTAATATTTCTATCACTAACAAAATAGCAATAAGCAATAATTTTGTTATTAACGTACATATATCATTCATTTGCAGTCATTTTTCTACTTTAACTAAGCACATAATTTACTTGTTATTCTTTTTTTGCGGTAATTATCTTGGAAGATTATTAATTTTAAATGTTTTGAGTTTTATGCATGATCGTCAATAATTGATCGATTAAAAATGTTCAACAGTTATATCACATGTTCTTCGTAATAGATGTTCCACATCTGTATTTCGCATTTCGTTTCGTATCAAAAGCACGATCGAAAACCGGCGCGATGGTGGGGTATCTTCGAGATAGTCAACGTCTCGTGGTTCGGTCGCCTTTCAGTGCCGGCACTTCGTTCCGTCAACAACCATATTAGTTGCACCGCGATTTATTCCGTTTCTCACACGCTTCGAAATGTGTTAAATCTTGTGAAATTTTAACGAAGTTCTTTTACGTGTGTCTCTCTTTTTTTATTCTTGACGTAAGTGACTTTGCGGATATGATGTTGACGCCGCAATTTTTCTCATTTGTCAAAAGTACACGTTAAACTTTGCTAACTGTTTATCAGTCATGGTATGTCGGAATCGTTCCACATTCGAAATCATGAAAAATGAAGATAGTGTTGCTTTTTTTAAATTTTCTTGTCACTGCTAACAAATCACATTTTATCAAATTGTGCTAATTGGAATCATAATGGAATACCACTCCACATTGATCTCACTTCGATAGTGACTTAACGTGACTCTCTGAAAATGAAGATATTATCATTGAGTATTACATTAATCTATCAAAGTTGATAAATTTTAGAACTTTAGAATTGTTTTATCGGAAGGATGTTAAGATTGTTAGATCTGTTGCTAACAAGTTCAATTAGTTGCACTGATGTAACATATTTGTGAGTTCTCACGTTCATTTAACTTGATTCTTACATAAAATAATCATTTGAAAGTCATTCTGTTTGAGAAACATCAATTATTTAAATTATTTAAGAAGTAATTATTTAAAAAGTTTATCTCTTTATGTAATTTATACAAAGTAATTATTCTGAGATACTCTATATTATCCACACAAGTCTTTAGTCTAGTTTAAACTTTATATAATGCCTCGCCGCATATATTTTAGGAGTTTTTTAATTTTTTATAAGAAATAAAAAAAAATAGGTATAATATTGATGTTGCAATTTTTGCATTGCATTACAAGCTAAAAGTCATGCTTATTGAGTTTTGTAATTAACAAATCAACGAATTTCGCTATAAACACGCTTTTTTTAGTACATTATCTTTATTGATATGTAATATTCCTTAATTTTGTATGTATTTATTATTATATGGTTAATATATGTTATTCAAATAGTCACAAGTTATTCAAACATTTTACCTTGAGACATTGAATGTAAATAAAGTAAAGGATACTGCTACTGTTTTCGTTTTCTTGCTAATACGCAGTCGCAGTATTTAAACTGATTCACAAAGTTTACATAATGTTATAGTAAAACTTAAAATAACAAGTTTATCTGTACAAAATATTACAAAATTATTCTTTTGTTGCAGATTTTTGTACGATACTCTTTACATGCACACGGAGAAAATTTTATATCACACACACACACACAAAAATTACTACGTAAAAAATTATTAATTTTAACTATACTATATATTAATTTTTACTACGTAAAAAATTTTTTAATAATTTTTTACGTAGTAAAATTTTGTGATATAAAATTTTCTCCGTGTGGTAACAATTATTTTTTTTATTCTTTATTTTTAAAATATCTTGTGCTTTATAAAATTAATCATGTAAATTGTGATAATACTATATTGCTAAAATAAAATAATAATTTTTTAATAAAACTTGTACAAAAATTTTTACTTTATATATACAGATAATTTATATACACAGATTACATTATAAATTTTCAAATACTATACATATCTTTATTTCAGTTATATTATTTTTCATGTAGAATTTCTTTTTGCATTATTATTTATGATATGTATTTTACGACAAACTCCATCATTCTGCGTACGTTATGCATAAATAATAATCTCATTTGATGGCGAAAATTTCTTTTGCAAATATTCCAAGTACGATTTTAATTATTCTTGTGCTTCACATAAATTACATAGTTAAATATTTTATTTAAATTTTGCAAATATAAAATTTGAACCAGAAATATGCACATAAATTTTCAAAAGTGGAAAATTACGTTGTTTGATTTAAATGAGATTTCTTTTCATTATCCGATGTACCTCTGTCTTATCTTTAATATTCAATGCATTTCTACAGAATGTTCCAAATTACTTTTCTTCAATCATAGATGCTTTATCGAATTTATGAAAGATTTTAGGACAATAAAAAATATAAACAAAGTCTTTAAACATTTAATAATTGAAAATTAACAGAGACAAAAATTATGAACAAATACTAAAGACAATTTTTTCTTATGATGAAATTAATCTCTCTTATCGTATCCTTAATGGATAATGCGTCGACTTCATAAATAAATTTTTGCGGAGGTTTCCGCGAAGAGCTTCAAGAATGTCGATATGAGTTTCATGTAGGAATTTCATCTCATTCTCACAAGTCATGACCTCGATCCACTATTTTCAAATACCTTACGATGTTATTGTCATTGTATTATATATTCAACAATACGGAAGTTCGTACAAATTATTTAATGTTTATGACTCCGTGCAGGCTGAAGCTCGTTTTTGTAAAATAATTATTAAATTAAATTCTCTCTTTTACAGAACCCGAGGTGATCTTCGTGCTTTCATTCTATACAAGAGATTCATTTCTGTACCTCGTTCAAATATCAGTACCTCCGCAGGAAAAATGGAAGAATCTCAAAGGTGAAAGATTAGATTTTTAAACACATGCTTGTGTTTTTACTTGTGCTTTCTATATTTACATTATCATTTGTGTATAATAGTGCATAACTTTTATTTATTTTAGATAAAAAAAAGTGCTTAGTTATGTATGTTATGATAATTTTATTTTAATTCTCATTATTACTTTTTATCTTGCTCGCAAGTATTAGAGTTGAAATAAATGAAGCAATTAAGTTATATATATTAAATTATAAAAATTCTACTGTGTTTGTAAGACGAGAATTGCAAAATCTCATCGCCGGTTTATATTCTGCGTACCTTTACATATTCTGAAATATATTTTATTTTGCAGATATGAGGAATCTGATGTGTGTAAAGAACGACCATCTTACAGCTTACGAAAATTAGGAGGTGATTCTTCATAAAATGACTTAAAATAGTTTATAAAAAAAGATCATAAAAGAATTGATAATTATTAGACTTTATAGTGCAAAGTCGTCGAGTATTGCGCCGTCCTTGATAAAACAACGACTTCCTCATTGCAGACATGGTGCCAGCGCGGGTCGTGCTGTATATGCTCTCATTTTCTGGATTCCTTGTGTCTTTCATGATGAGGACGGACATTAATATCGCCATGGTGGCCATGGTGAAGTTGCCGTCAACATCGAACAATGAAACCGCCGTGGTAACATCTCACTGTTACACAATGACGAATGCGTCACATGCGGAGAACACCACTGTAATCAGACCGGAGGTGAGCTGTTGCGGATATTGCGATAAATTGCATAGCATATAATTTTTTTTTTATTATATACCGTTTTGTTATGTATGATCTTCAAAATAATAGAGAAGGGAAAATCTTCCCAATCTGCGTCAATCGAAAATGATTTTTTTGTTACGTTGCCTCTATCGAGTTTTTTTCCATAGTATCAATACCAGAAATGATTTGCGAAATGTATCAGTATATTGCGCCACATGTTTATTCACTCACAGGTCGGTTCAGTCGAGCTACTCCGTTGTATAATGACTGGCACGATTAACGTCACCAAACCTGTTGAGTATGATAAATGGGTTATGAGTACCATTAGCATTGTCCAACATAAATATACATATATAAATATTCACATATCATGCCGGGGAACATAGCATATTAATGTATTTGATATGTCTAAAAAGTAATTAATATAAAATTCAAAATAAAACATAAATACACATTAAATAATTATTGGAAAAATTATTTATTTGCAATATGTACTCATTTATGTACACTTTAATGGAATTTAGCTATCACAAAGCAAAATATTAGCAATAATGAAGTTGAATAAAATTTGATCATGATGATAAATTCATCATAATAATAATTTTAAAAAAATTAATGAACAATAGAGATTTATAAAAATTATAATCGGCGTATATTAATAGTCACGCACATTCTTCTTCTTTATATTTTCTCAGAAATTATAAAATCGCAAAATTGTTTTACGGCTATATAATTTTTAAGGAAATGATCAATAAACAATCGAAATCTCGTTCCTAAACTATACTACAAATTCTTATTGACAGGATGCTGGCGAGTTCGAATGGAGTTCAGCCACCCAATCGGCCATTCTCAGTTCTTTTTACTGGTGTTATATACTTTCGCAAATGCTCGGCGGTGTTCTCACTCAATACTTCGGCACTAAAACCATATTCGGCGGATCGCAGGCTGTCACTGCTCTCTGCAGCCTGCTTATGCCGATTGCCGCAGATATGCATTACGGGGCCATGATAGCATTACGTAGTATACAGGGCGTTGCAAGTGTGAGTCTTTAAATAATTTTAAAGTAGTACATTGAAAAATTTTATACGCAAAATAAATAATTAGGAAGCATTATAGGAACAGCTAAAGAAATACCAATTTTTAAAATGTCTTTTAGCTGTCTTTTAATCACTGTTTGAGCTTTTGTATTATTCGAGATAGCAATGACAAATTTTCGTGATTTACTTTTATCTTTCTTTATGAAAATAGGGACTCACGTGGCCCGCGATGTATGCTGTAATTGGACACTGGATTCCACCTGTGGAACGTTCACGTTTCATGTCTTCCTTTCAAGGTACGTTAAGAAAATTCCGGTCGTTAATAGATTTTCGTGTGTTACAGTGAAACTTCGATATATTCGATTTATAATTAGGTCAATGCGTACCGTCATATTGCATCACAAATATAACGCCGCAAAATAAAAGTCACATTACTCCTCTCGATTGTGTTCTCGTGAATACTAATGCACGCTTCTTTCAGAATGGAATACGGAAGTTCGAATGAGAAGCAATTAACTGACGATAACCAGTAGATCTAAACATTATATTATTGTTTCAGTCAAAATTCCGGAGCAAGAAAATAATTTCTTGTTAAAATGCGAATATAGTTACTCTCAGTAAACGCCGCACACCGATCTGCGCGAATTATCAGTTGTTCGTGATCCCGTACAGTTCATCTCTACGAGGTTGCATTCGCCGGACCGAGGGGTATACTCAACAGCGACCGCTCAACAGCATGAGAAAGGCCGAGTATACTTCCAGCTGGTAGAATCAGCCGGGCTCGTCGAACATGTACATTGTATATATTTGTCTCTCTTATGTCTATGTATCAGTTCTGTCTTTCGACATCCACTTGTCTGTAATACAAGTTAATCTAATCGTCCTTCTCACTCAAACTTTTCCAGAGATGGACCAGAAATTTCGTTTCACACACTTGCGATACGGCGTGTTTCTCTTTTCGCTTATCGATAACCGATAAATTTAAACTACTGGAATTCTCGCTGCTAATACGAGGCTGCGTCCATAAATGATGTTACATGCTTATTGATTGATATTCGTTGAACAAATGTAATTTAATACGCATGAACGCAATGTGCACGAGCTTCTTAATATTAAAAGTACTTCTTCTATCGACTAAAAATTATACTCCTACTCTCTGCGTGCTACGGCGACAAAAAAGCTGCTGAAAAAAGGTGACTTTTTTCAACTCACACGTGTATATACGTTGGTTTATTAACTTTTCATTGCTGCGCACTTATCTCACGATTCCGATCTCTCTGTGTAAGAAGAGTGAGTACTCATTTTGCAGGTAGAACGAGAGTTCATGCTCTTATTATTTTTACAGACATAGAAGTTTCATTGTCCCACTATTAACAGCTCCATCGTATTCTATCCTCGTCCTCGCGCACTAAGTCTCTACTTGAATCGCTTTACAGGGTGAGATACGTACGCCGCGATCAAGGAGCGATCATCATCACGCATGAGTCGTAACAAAGCAAGACGAAGGCCAAGCATCATGTTTCAGCTTCCTTCCGGGTCGTAGGGTGAGCTACTCCTAACATCTAGGTTGTCTATATTCAGGGTTCAGCATCGGCATCGGATTGACTTACCCACTGTGCGCGTTCATCATCGCCCATTTCGGATGGCGTGCCGTGTTCTACACCAGTGGCAGCATCGGCCTCATTTGGTGCGTCTTCTGGTACTTCTGCGCCTTCGATACTCCCGCCTCGCATCCCAGAATATCCAAGCTGGAGCTCCGTTACATTCAGGAAGGTGTTAGGAACCAAGTTATCGGCGCGAATGAGGTAGAGCGATGTGCATCTGCCATTTCGGCGATTAAACCGACATTCGCACGGGATGCGCGCTAAAATAAACGTATTTGTAGGACCTGCCTGTTCCTTGGAAATCTATACTTACTTCCTTGCCGGCTTGGGCTATCGGTATCACGACCTTCGGAAGAATATGGGTACACTATGTCTTTATCATTCCCGGTCCGATGTACATGAAGACGGTTTTAGGATTCAGTATACAGGCAGTGCGTATCTATTTGCGTCAGGAATATATGTCTATTTTAACTTTTTTTTTTTAATCTACTGCTGGAAATAATAAATTTATTCTTGTTTTCAGAACGGTATTCTGTCCGGTGCGCCATTTATCTGCAGCTACTTAAGTTCCGTTGTGTTTTGCTACGTGGCAGATCTCCTAGTTACTCGGAAAATTTTGACTTTACTCACTGTGCGCAAGATATTCACCGCGTTATGTAAGTTCACATTTATCGTTTTCCTGAAATACTTGGAAATTGCATCACATTTTTTTTTTCCTCATAGCTCAAGTGGTTCCTGGAATTCTCGTAGTTTTAATTGGATACTTAGGCTGCGATATTATTATCGCTTTAATTATATGGTTCATAGCTGTTACTCTTATAACAGCTGGTTACGCGGGTGCAATGGCTAATATCGTTGATATCGCACCTAATTTTGCCGGTGAGTATTTTCGCGATCATATTGTTTCCTTAACAGTTTTCCGATACTTTTACGAATCGATATTTTATTTTCAGGACCGGTGTTGGCATTTGCACAAACAATTCATATGACCGCCAGTTTCCTATCGCCTATAGCAGCTGGTCTGCTCACACAGGAAAGCGTAAGTATTAGAAATACTTTCTTATTTTAGTTTTGTCTATTCATATCCGTTAAACAAACATTAAATATTAAAAATGTTCTTTGTTTAACAAAAAATGATTTCTTTTGAACTAAAATTAAGAGTTTAAAGTGATATAATATTTTTAATAGCAATCTCTCGACGCGTGGAGAAAAGTATTTGCGGTCACTGCCTGTGTGTCCTGCAGCACGTATATTGCCTATCAGATTTTCGGTACAGCAGATATACAAGCGTGGAACTATCCTGATCAAAAATATCCTCCATCTATGCAAGAATCTATACCGTTAAATGAGAAAGTTCGTAAAAAGAGCAGCATCATTCCGAGCCGAACAAACTCGTCGGAACAATCGTAATATATCTTTATTTCATTTAATTAATCAATTTTATTAAATTGGTTGTTTATGTTTCCGCTTATCGTCATTCCTTACGTTAAACTTGCTTCCTTAGCTCTTTTAACAAACAAACAAACAAAATAACACGCAAATATAGCTCAATGTATATGAAAGATATCTATTTTCAATACTGTTCTTGTAAATAGATCTGATTGTTAATAACGAGAGAAATATAGAAATATAGTCAGGGTATTATAATGAAGAGATAATATTTTTATGAAGCGAATGTCTCAGGTATGTTAAAACGTTCTGATCGGTTTTCAACTTGAATTGTATATCACAAATGCACAAATATTTGAAGAAACAATCGCTGAAGCATAGAAAGCAGTTTTTGCAATTTTATAGTGAATTGATCAAATAATTTGCGAAATAAAAACGGCTTTGCCCTCTTAACAATGTCAATAGCGTTTCCAGACGAGTGGTGCTAAGACGCATTGAAAACGGTCTTCTTTATTTACGTGTCGTTTAAGAGCTGCATAACTCGGGTAGCAGTTTTATATATCTTGCTTGGATGATATTAATATATTAATAAAGAGAAGGAAGAATCGGAATATAAAAATTGTAAGAAAATATAAAAGCGGCAGAAAAAATTAAAATTGAAAGATAACTATTTAAAAAGAGAGAGAACATTGCCTGATAGGCGTACACATATTGTCTGCATCGCGGACTCAAATTCAGGACCAAATGTTAGCAATAGTGTCAATCTGCTAACAATTTTACTTACTGGAAAGTTGTGCAGTTCCAGCTTAATCTAAACGAAGTATTGTTCTGGTTTGCTATTGGCATTGTCAAAGAAACAATCTAGATAGGATTAATTCAATATAAAATTTCCAGAACTTTTGTGATAGGTAATGTACGATATTGCTCGATTTTGTTTATTTATATGCATTATCTATTAGAAATTTATTGTACAGTAATTTATTCGTATGACGCGGATCTCGTAAAGGTAACCAAACAGTTACTTATTTCGTTTTTTATTTTGACGAAGTTTCGGAAAAACTTGAAGATCTATATCTACATATATATCTTCAATATATCTCAATATATTTCACTTTAAGATATTGCCTAAAATTTCTAAAAATATGACACTCGTGAAGCTTGCATATGTTTAAAATATACAAAATATTAAAGTACTTATCGTGAATTTAGCGATATTTAAAATATAACTCTGTTAAAGACACAAATTTTATTTACACAGTTCTTCAAATAGAGAATAAAAATGCAATCATGAATTAGAGTGAGACATCAGGATTAATAGTACTTATGTTAGTACCTCTGTTTACAATCAGTGCCTTGTAGTACTTATGTATAGATCTTCAAGTTGATAATAAAGCTCGAACGGAGCTCTCTTGATACATCTAGTAATTTTTACAAATTAGCGTAGATCTCTGGCAAAATGTTCAGGGTTATATTAAAAATTAACACTATTAACATTATTAACCTGCCATTGTACCGTGATGCAAAAGAATATTTATTGTCTAGCATCATGAGATACGTATTACACAAATCGATTTATAGAAAAACTACGCTCTATTTAGATCGTATAGTAATAAATATATTCAATTGTGTAAATGTTGTAAGAAATTATTTTGTCGATTATTAGTTTTTTAAGAATTATAAATGTATGTTACAATAATTCCATGAACAACGTATGTGCACAACTTTTTAGTAAATAAGTCATGCAAGTATTATATATCATTTTCATAAAACATTCATCCAAAAATCGAATTAAAAAAATATTAATAGAAAAAAGGCGATAAGAATCACAATGCGGTGCGATAATAATTGCAATGCAATTTCTTTATTATCAAAAGTTACAAATTATAAAACGTTTTGGCTCTTCAGTCTGACATTATAATCGATAATCAACCTGAACATGCGGCTGTCAGCTGTCATTCATCGACGTGCCGACAGGTGTAACGTGATTGAACCCTTATACTGAGCGCGACCCAATTTGTTAATCAAACACTTAAGAGTCCACGTGGACTATTTTCGCTAAATTTTTTGGCAATTTGGCGTGAAGTATGATCAATACTCGAGAGTTTAGAAATGACAAGAGTTCAAGTTTACGCGCAAGTATCAATCACGTTACATCCGATTACATCGCGGTGACAGCCGCATGTCAATTGGATTACATGCCTGTTAAACCAAAGATGGTCTTGCTAGACTGAAGAAGGCCCGAAAATGGGCTAAAACATTCCATTTTATATCTTTTAATAATAAAGAAATTTTTTTCGTTCTCTTATATGTAGTTCTTATAGTCTTTTTATTGATATTTTGTCATTGTTATACCCATACATTACTCTATTAATCAAACTAACTTTTTCTTTTAATCTTATCTCCTTATTCGCGGACAAAGTACTTTATATATTAATAAATTAAGTATTTTAGTATTCTTACAAATACGTATATAAGATTTCTACATTAATGATTGTGTTCTTATATGTTTGCATGCATACATTGCAATATTTCTGTCACGTTTAATATATTTGTAGAAATTAGTTATAAACTTTGCAATTGAAAAAAATACTATTGTTTTTATTACGTGGAACCTTAAGAGAAGTTATTTTCTCACAGAAATTAATTTTTTTCATGAAAATTGTAGTAAGCAATTATTACTGAATAAATAGATCAAAATTTTATTGCGTTTTTTTCTTGCGAGATTCATTATTTATCTTATGTGTTGCTTATAATTATATGAATGTAATGTGATATAAATATATTCAAAATTCGTGCTTATGGAAACATTTTCAGTTCATTAAAAATTATAAACTCGTAACTTTGCATAAAGGCAAACCATTTTTCGGGTGACGTTTTTATTGTGTACATGAAATTATTTTTTTTAGTTTTGAAATCTTAATTTGCTATATTTTAAACTTATGTATTAAACATTATACGCAATTGATACATTTATCTAAACTTAGAACGATGCAAAATCCGCGAAAGCGACTAATATTGAAAAGAGATAAATGGTACGATGACCTGACAAATGCGATAAGAACAATTGCAACTATACACATATAGATATATGACGCAAATTGTGTACGACGAATAGATAGTATAAAAATATTAACTGGAATTATACAAATAAATTATGAGAGAAATCTCAAAAATGTGTAGAAATACGAGATAAATTAAATAAATTTAGGTAGATTTAAGTATTAGCAAATATGATGTTAATAAAAATATAAATCAAGTCATAAAAAATCTATTTGTAATTTATTTGAAATATTAATTACAATAAAAAAGTTTATAATTTCATATAATTTTAACAGTAATGCGTTTAGATTACTATAAAAAATAAACCTTTTTTTATTAAAATAAATCTTACTACAATTCGTTCCACATTTGCCATTAAAAAGATTGAAAAATCTGAGTTATCTCTTTGCGAGAGTATTTTATATATATCGTCTAAGCTTATCAACTTTAATTCAACTAATTCAGTATAAATGTCATAGAAAGTTTTTCCTTAATCACGTTTTAATCAAAGCTTCTCGAAAAAATGCCTGGAATGAACAATTGCAATTGTTTATTACATATACACACTGTTCGAGTGCTTATTAACGTCAGAAAATACGTAAAGTGGAAGCCAGTTGTTATTGATATTAGATTAGATGTCTATCTTAATAAGATATCTACGAATTCAAACATATTTCAGTTTGGTTTATGTCTGTTGCAGCGTATGAAATATATACGATAGCAGGCAAAAACAATATATTACTGGAAACTCGAGTTTATCTCATATCGACGTATTACATTCTAAACCTCTCTAAAGGTCACATCTGCGACGTGACTGAATCGGAGAGATGCATTAACATTTAATCCTCACAGTTTGCATACATTACATGTGCTAGCGTTTTAATTTGCCACATCGCAGATTTGGCTCGCAATCAGATAGCATTCACGATATCGACTTTGTAACGCCAGTGACAAATGTACACGACATATTTATCGAGATATCTTGGAAGACAACGAGATATAAGGAGCAAGTAATACTTGAGGAAAGATAGTGTTGTATCAAATTCCTCCCGTGATTATTCGTGCGCAGAAAATCAAGGTGTAAATAAGTGGAACTTAAAATTTATTAAAATGCGGTAAGCGAAATATTATTTAGACGTTTCTGATGTGCGACAGAAATTCAACTTGAAAAGTAACTGTTAAGATAGACTTTACGTTGAAGATTTTAAGATTGTAATAAATGTTTGCTTGAGAAAAATTGTTTTAAAATATTTGTATCTATAAATTTTATATATTTAATATATATTAATAGCAGTTTATCGATTATATATCAATCTTTATTCTATTAATTTATTATGGGAAAATTTATTCTATTATGAAAGTGGACAAGCAAAATCTGTTTTCTTTTTTTAGGCTGTGGATATTGCTGACTGCGCTTTTATTAGTTACAATACTTGTATCAGAAACTTATGCAAAGAAATCGAGCAAAGATGTAGAAAATAAAGACAGCAATGAGAAACAGAAACATGATGTAAAACACCATACAAAGTAAGTACTTGATAATAAAATAAAAAAACCCGTTTTTTATATTTTTAAAAAATATTTAATGTTTTATTTTATCAATATTAGATAAAACTCATGAAGATCTTTTAGATCTTAATTAGGTTTTTATAAAATAAATACAAATACAAATTGCTGTCTTAAAGATTAAAATATAATTTATTAATTATTATATACTATTTATTTTGAACTTATAATTTTTTGTGTTATTAATTAATTAAAGTGTTTTTTTTTTAGAAATAAACATCAATCAGGAGAAAAAGACAAACATGTAAAAGAGCAAAAAAAAAGAAAGAGCAGCTCATCAGAACAGGACGTTGAAAATCCTTCCGAAAAATACACAGAAGCAAAAAATTCTTACAAGTCAGAGAAGTCAAAGAATAAGCGAAACAAACGTGAGGAGAAAGTTGAAGTGATAAATGAAAAAGAAAACACAAATACCGAATCGAAACATTCGAAAGATAAGACAAAGACAGAAGCACAAAGCAAGAAAGACAAGAAGACCAAACAGTCAAAAAAATCCGAACAACAATCCGAAGCTTCGCAGGATTCTGAGATTCGCCAAAAATCGAAGAAGAGCTTGAAAGAAGAAAAGAACAAAAAGAAAACGAAAAATGTTGAGAAAGTAAAAAACATTGAAGAGAATGCAGATGCTGATGTCCAAAGCAAAAAAAAAGTAAAGCGTTCCAAATCGGAAAACTTCTGAAAATGCTCAGGATGTCGTTAATAAAAAAAATAAAAAGACCGAGTCTGATAAGAGAAAGAAGAAGCAGAAGGTACCAAAGAATACGGAGTCTGAAAAAGCCGAGGAAGATTTAATTGAAGTTAATTCCGAACAGGAGGAAACTGTGCAAAGTACAAAGAAAAATAAACAAAAAGCTCGAGAAACGAAAGAGAATAAGAAAAACAGGAAGAAGCGCGAAGTAAAACAAGAAGAAGAGGCGATTGAAAACGAGCAGGCGGAAGAAAATCTCATCGAGGAAGAACAAACAAATGCAAATGGAAATTCGAACGAAGAAAATGAGCAGGCTGATGAAGACGAGAATACGAGAAGTGAGGATGAAAATGAAGAAAATTGCTCGGCGCAAGTAGACGGTGAACAGTGTGCGAAATCAGAACATTAATATTTTAATACTTCGATTTAAAATCTGGGACTTTTGAAAACATTCAGATATCAATTATCTTACGTTCGCATACTATCGTGTCTTATCACGGTGCCGGTGAAGGTATCAAATGATAATGCGTGCTACGTGGGGCGACTTTATTTATTTTGTCTATCTATGTGATTAATTGTATAAAGATGTCTTTCCTTACTAATGTCTGCTATTAAATTTCTTATTTCTAAACACCACTTGTCACAGTCTTGATGTCTTCTTACCGATATCAATAATTGCTCAATATATCGATGGGATGCGCTGAAAATATTATTTCACAATTATTATCTTTTATCATACACACTTACACAATTTTATAAATAAAAAAATTGAAATGTCTTATCGTGTAGAGATGATTGTTTGCGCTTACTAGTAGATTGTGCCATAAATGCAATAACCCATCCTGTACCAATGTTATTCACCGTCGAAGAGTATCGAACGAGAACTCGATTACTGTCAGCTTCTACCCTCGCTGGGTCATCCTATTAATAAAAAAAAGAATATTATATATTGTAATTAATAAAACTATTTTAATTTTACTTTAAACTATGTAGTGTATATTGTATAAAAAAATTTCTAGAAATGCTTAAAATATGATTTAAAAAAAATAGAAATTTAGTTTTTTTATATAATAAATTCTGGCCAGAAGAAAAAAGACTAAAGAATTCTTCTAAATAATCAATTATTAAGCAATTTTCAAATTTGCAGAATTTATAGGTAATTTTCAAATATATCTTATTTTACGAAAGCACTTACTCCACCGCAATATGTGCTGCGTAAAAGTTGTTCGTTCGGAAGTACGTCGTAAACTTTGACATTATTGCTGCCGCAGTTCTTCTTCGTGCCGATGTCGAAGACGAGAAACTGGAGAATGATTTTGAAGCCTCGCGGCACGCTAACGTCCCAAGTGCACACAGTATTGTTGCGATATATGCTGGGGTACAACGGCGACGTAAATCTGCCGCCATAATTGAATATACGACCACCGCAGCCACGACCTGCGCAATTTTCTCTTTTCAAGTATTTTATGAGGCAACGCGGGAGCGCCGATCTACATATGTATGTATATTCATCTGTGGTATAATGCGCGTGCGATATTTGAATGCGATGTCGCAATCGGATTTTCGCGCGTGAAAATAAACCGCGACGCCTCGCGAGCGCGTATCTCGGGAGGCGCCGCAGCGTCGTAAATCATCGCACGCGCGTTGCAATTTCCCCGCGTTTGACGGCGTGCATTAATCGGATGCAACGGAGAAAGGGATTTGTGCATATTGCTACGAACGACCTGCGTCGTACCTGCATCCGTAGTCGTGTAAATGATGTCGTAACTTTGAAAAGAGCTGGCGCTCTCGGTCCAGGAATGCAAAGTGAGTTTGTTGCCGGTGCTGAAAATCGGGCTTGGTATTGCCGTGCTGCATAACGTCGCTAGAAGCGGTCCGCTGGAGTCACCGTCATGAACCTATGGCACGCACAAATTTATTAAAACAATTAAACTTGCAGCAAGCATCCCTTTGCGCGTATGAAAACGAGTTTTATGTTGCTTAGGTAATTTCTGCTATGGTAAACAATTAAATTAAATTTCTATGTAAATTAAATACAATTTTAAGTTTTACAATTTTCTTCATAGGAATTAAGAAAGTTAACGTACTTGCAGCGCGTTGTGTATGCAGTGGTCTGCATCATAAATGCTGAATTGATTAAAGTAGAGAGAAATAGTGCGATTTGCCGGAACGGTAATCGTGAACCAGCAATTCGAAAATCCGTGATGGAAAATTCGTCCTTGTTCGCTCGTATAATTCCGATCGCACTTTGCTATATCATATTCCAGCTTAAAGCCTTTGTGGTCATTGGACATTGATTTAAACGAAATTTGTATGCTGTTGCCATAACTGTGGGAAAATATTTGATTTGAGATAATCTTGATAAGAATATATGTATAACATCTCAATGAAATTTAGAGGTATAATTAGATACCTGTAGTAATCATGTGGCAATTCGTTGCCACAATATTTATATGAGGAATAAGGTAGACGACTACCCTGAAAAGAAAATAAGATGACATATATAACATAAAAATATACAAATAATTGATAAAATAAAATGCATTTTTTTATACTGATAATACAACTCTAACAATCTTACCATTTCTATGCTAATTGGATGATTTTTCGTGCCACTATAAATGAAGTCCGTTCCGAAGCCTTCGTTTATGAATCTCTGATAATTATTAAAAAGAAGACAATAGTTATATTTCACTGATTGATTACAAATTAATATCAATCATCAAAGAATTATATATTTTTAAACAGACATTAATTAGCAAACTCTCCATACAGAATAAGCACACTTGAAAATATTATCTGTCCAACACTTGCCTTCTGTTCAGTAATTTCTAAATACTCGGTCTCGCATTTGTTAGAATCTGCCATTTCGAAATCTATAAATCGAATTCGTAGTCTGTCAGAGTATTCGTCGGGGTGTCGTAAGTTCCAGCGACATTGTGTACCAAATGTATGCGTATTCGGGTAACCTGGCGACGTAAGTATTTGCGTCGTTTCGTTCACTGTTCGAGTAGTCAAGCCGCATAATGCTGTAACAAAATTACACAAGTAAAACTACGGTTAAAATCAAGAAAAATAGTTGACAAAAAAGTAGAAATTTGTGAAAATTAAAATATTTATCATAAAACAGAATAAATTACTACTGTTTGATTGTATTTTGTTTTATATAATAAAATATTGAGTAAATTGACGAAACAACATCTCTTACAATCAACAACATCCAAGGTAGCTGTCGCACCGGCTCCTACAGCAGTACCGTCGGTATAAAATCTAATCCATAGTGAGTTTGTGGAAGATACTACGGGAAGTGGCAACGTGTTGCCGCAGTATTGACCCAAAAGTGGGGCATAAAGTCCACTGCCATCTCGAATCTGATAATAATAAAACACACGACAATTTCAATTAATACGAACACAATGAAAATCCTTTTCCATCGATTTTAATTTTCCAAACTGTATTCAAGAGAACAAGAAATTGCTTATTTCAGCTATCTTACGTTAACGATTTTATCTGTTTGACGTTTTGCGTAAAATATTCCATCTACGCATTAGCACACACAATGTAATATCTTGTTATCAGTATTTCTAAAAAATACTTATCAGTGAGCTCAAACTTGCCTCAAGGAAATCACCGGTACATATGTCATTTCGCGTGTTATTATTAGTTGAATTCTTGATATCTATACTATTTATAGTAAATTTAATATTTTTGCCCGGCGATGTCACGACAGTCCAATGGCACTCTTCGAACGATTGATAAATTGCCGCTCGTTGAGTTCTGAACGATTTAGATCGGATCGAAGTCATATTAATAGACTCTCCGCAACCGTCAGCTGGACTTGTTGTAAATAGAACCTAAAATTTTCCACTATCATTAGTACAACCATTATCTGAATTTAGTCGACAAGTAAATTAAATAATAACCATTAAATGAAGGGTTCAGAAGAAAAGTGAATTAAGTTCGTTAATTATTAGAAAATTAGTTTTAAAGTTAAAGTTGTTCTAATTGTGTGTACACTGTTTTTCATAGGTATAGTTAGTATAGCTATAATTTCTTTTAATTTTAACTTAAATATTTGCACTCACTTTTAAATCATTCAGTGAAAATTGTTGAGTTTTTTTCTAATTTATACATGGATTTAAAAGATTCACTTTTCCTCTCAAATAACGATCGCAAATATGCGACACTTGTTATTACTAATTAACAGGTTTATATTAAATAATGCGATAAAATGATATTTAATAATAGACAATACCTTGGCCGTGAAACCTTCAAAATGTTGCGAACTATCAGAATTGAAACTAACGACCATGGAATTGGATTCTGACTTGAACGTAGGTAAATGTTCAGTCAAGTTTCCGCAAACCTGACCCATCCGTTTGTCGATTAGTATTGAATCACCCTCATAAACGGCGACATCATCGAAGTAGCAACTATAAATTGGCAATAATGAAATGAATTGATTTAATGAAATTAAATAATGAAGATACGTTTGATGTGGATTCGTTAAAACTTACTGTGTGCTGTACTCGAGAACGAACTTCTCGAAACGTAGAAGTACGCTCTTCCCTTGTGGCGCTTTAATGATCCAAGTGCAATTCATGCGTCCAAAGTATTCGTTTCCGTGCATCAAAGGTTTCAGTTCAGTGGGATGCGTAATTATACCACCACATTCTGTTAATTACAACGATTTCATTATTTCTTTTCCTATCATTGTCTTAATAATTTCCTCGACAAATTATCATCCATCGTATTTTGTACATTAATCTAATTACATTCTCTGGTAATTAGTGCGTTCTCTATTGTCCGTAGTGTAATTTTCGTAATGACCGATTAATATATAAAAAATGAGAAACTTACTAGTCAGGAAATATTTAAATTGGTAGCCACTTCGCTGCACATATTTATCCGTCATGAAGATAATTTGTACTTTTGAAGTCGACCTCAAAAGCGGCGGCTTGTTGCTGCCACAGAAAGTCTCCACATTTTCTACCATACGCATATTTTCCGTTATGATAGTGATGTTGTCAAAACGACAATCTCCGCGACCTGTCAAAATTAATTAATTTTGATTTCGCAGGTTTTTCTTATTTACAGATAATAAATTGTGCTGGTATCTCAAACATTATCGTGGCTTCATGAAATGTAGCTACTGCCCGCGGTAATTCCATCACGGGGGAAAGGAATGGCGGAGAGATAATTGTCACTCACCACGCTCGAGCTGAAAGTCAGTGAACTCGACAATAATGTCTTCGTCTGGCGCAATGATGGTGTAATTGCAGAACACGCTGGGTGGATAGAAATTTGGATACGACGGTGATTGGATGACATTGACGTTATCGGTGGCCTGGAAAATACCGCCGCAATTCTCGCTCCAGACGGCGCGGAAACCATCCAACTGTATCGCCTCGTTCGAATGGAAGATCACCTTCATGCGATTCGACGTCGAGTTAAAGGGTGGAAATGTGCTCCTGCCGCAAACTTTCTGGAGACTTTTCCATTCCCCAACAGCATTATTAATTTTAATCCAATCGAATACCTGCATAACATAATACATTTATCACTAATAATTTCCAACATTTTTTTGTTACAAAAATATCGTTAATGTTAATAAATGATAATAAGTTATATTTATCATGTAAATAGTAATGATCAGACCTCTACATAATCCTTCTCGCAATTCGAACTAGCTTCCACGGCGAATCGATCGGCGAAGACCAAACCTATGTGATATCCATTTTCACCGAAAATTTCCCACGTACATTCAGCGTTATTTGGATATTGTTTAGGAAATCTACGCGACATTGCAAAAGTGTTATTAAGTGATTTTTCTTTAAAGCAGTGTAGTATTGCAGTGTCTGTCTTATCGGAAGCAAATTACCCTGGCGATAAAATTGCACGACTGCCACCGCGTAATGATCCCCCGCAACCGGTGCTGGCGACTTCCAAATTAATCTCGAAATCACTTACATCGACAGATGTATAATATTCTATCCATAATTGATTCGATAGGCTAGTAATGTTAAGATTGCCAAGTACTCTTGCCGAAAGACCGCAGTACCTTACAATTTGCGGTGCCGTTGGTCCGTCGTTTCTAATTATAGATAAACATGACGAATGTAGAATAGATCGATAATAATTTGATAAAAAATATAAAGTAGCCTACCTGACAATGAGGTAATTTACGTCACAATTATCGTGGAGTTGAAGTTTGGCGAAAGAGAGTTTAATTATCTCGTTCTCAGGATAGTTTATGTGCCAAGCGCAGTTTATCGGATTAAGAATATTCTTTGGTGCTTTGATAGTATGAGATGGGCCTCGTAAAATACCACCACAAGGTTGCCATTTATAATATATATTGTAATTTATAGGTTTTCCGTAAGTGCCGTTCATTACCTAAAAATTAATAGATTTCTGTTTCTGTTTGTACTTGACATTGAAATAAACAATTTTAGTTTATTGTACTGAAAAATTCTTGAAACTGTAATGGTTGGGAATTATAATAGTTAAAAATTATATAATATAAATTAGTGTATAACAAAAATTTAATCTAAAAAATTGAGTTAACTGAGATACTTTTAAGCCTGACTAGTGACAGTTTTTTTCTATCAGAAAGTCAACAATATTTTTTATTTTATTATTAATTTTATAATTAAACGTCTTTTGGAGGAAAAATTTTAATTAACACTGAAAAAACATGCATAAATAATAAAATAAATAATAATACATTACCGTTAAATCATTGACTAATTTCGGGCTTCTCAAATATTTAGGTTCCGTCATATTTCCGCATAACATTCCAATATCTGCAAATTGACAGTTATACTTTATATCGATTTATTCAGATTTAAAATATTAATTTCTGATTTTTTCATTTTTTCCAATAACTGCCATCGATAAAGGAGAATAAAATATCAAATAATATCTTTTACCTTCAAGTTCGATGTATTGAGGGAAAAAGCAATTTCTTTTAATATTGTTTTCACTCTCGTGTCCGCCCAAGTTGCCGGTAACTTTTATTGTCAGTGTTAAACCGGTGTCGTTAGACAAACTGATCATATTTTCAGGTGGTTCCAATTTCCAATTGCAGACGTAAGAAGTTTGATTAAAAGGCAGAGTTGTAGGACCCGTTATGTTGCCTTCCAGTTCTCTCAAGCTTGCACCGCAAGCTACAAATAGAGCGCATCGGTAAAAATCAATAATTTACGCCACAAATCAAACATAATATGAAAAAATGTATTTTCACAATTTAGATTGCACTATTGTAATGCATGATGGATTTAACTGCCAATAATAACATCTGAAGCTTACGGGCTGGGGGTAGTGCAATATAACGAAGTTTGAAACCTCGATGCCCAATGGAGGACCAATATCCGAGACTCATAGTATTAGTGGAACTCCTTATCTGCTCTATACTAGCGCCTTGTCCCAAGACTTTGATCTTTGATTTAAAGCGGAAATCGTTGTAGAACTGCAATAGAAACGTTTCAATATACATTCTTGTTTTATCGTGATAACGATTTTTAAATGCTATCGGGGATTACGTTGCTTACCGAAAGTGCGTATCCTATGTGTGTAGATCCAGGTTCGTTAACAACATCTATATCCAAAATATCCACCACAATTTGATATCCCACTGGTACCTTAATTCGCCAATCGCAGTATCTACGATATATCATCGATATTTAATATAAATAGAAGTTGTAATAGTAAAATTTTATAGACTTTTTTTTGATAATATTTCTGCTACATATTCCACTTGACAAAAATCGATATATTTTTTAAAAGAAATTTACCTAGGCCGTGTACGTGGATTAGGATATCCAGGCGATTTGATTGTCCCAAACATTGCGGTTAATGAACCGCCGCACGCTACGAACAAAATAATGTATGAATGTAAGATGTGTGATTAAATTTTAAATTGTACAAATAACATGAAGTAAAATTTGTAACGCGCAATTGAAAATTGTTTAATATAGTTTTGCTATTACTAACTTTCTTGGCTAGCGGTGAAGTTCAGACTAAAGCCTCTGTAAATTACGTAATCCCTATTATCGCTCTTGAAAGATATGTATGCTTGGTTTGACGATGTTTCAATTACATCTGGTTTTTGGAGACCGCAGTAAGTTCCAATTTCCGACACTGTAAACAAATATTTTTTATCATCGTTATTGCAACAATCAACGAAATTAGATCTAAATCAAATCAAATTGCATCAAATTAATTGTATGATTACTTACTCGTATCATTTTCTACAAATTTCTCTTCAATTTTAATGTGATCGGTCGAATAACATCGACGAAAACCAGGCAGATGTATGTCACGGAATTGTAATTTCAAGGTATGATCCGTCGGTCCTATTATTAACCACGAGCAAGTTTGATTGACAGGATAGGAATTCGGATAATTCGGCGACTCGATTACGCCACTGGTACCGCGCAAAACTCCACCACACACTTCTACAATAAAAACATATATTTTATCAAATTCATCTTGCTCTCAATATAATTTTATACATATAAATTAGACGCACCGATATCGTTTAATTCTAAATCATTTAAGAATTGCCGTTCTCGTATTAAAATTTATAATATTCATTCAGCGCTTACCTCCTGAAACAATCGAAGCTTTGAAACCATTCTTGGGCTCTGATAACTCTGTATAGTAATAGACGTATATCATGTTGCCAATGGTGCTCATGCTGCTGGGTGCTACATCTGTACAATATTTTCCCAGCAGCCTTGAATTATCAGTTCCGCCGTCCCTTATTTCAATATATTCCTTTTCACAGCTAAAAAAATATTGTTATAAAAATATCATTTTTAATCGGAATCTCCTGTAAAAAAAATTATTCTATCTTCCGCCAATGATTAAAGCTCACTTTTTGCTATAACTTAAATCAAATCGATCCAGGAAGTGGATAGAAAGCTTTTCACCAGCAGGAGCAGTAGCTGTCCAAGTACATTCGGCAAAGGCTGGAGGGATGTTTGGATAGTTAGGGGTTGATATTTCATATTTATTGTCTTTGCTTGTCAAAATATAGCGGCCACCACAGACCATGCTCACTTCTCTAAAATATGAAGACAAATGAGATTATTGCAGCTCGATAAAATAATTCTTGGTGCGTGACATTTGACAAAGAAAAATCTTTTTTTTCAGCATTAAAATGCATTATTCAAAAATTACCTGTAAGTGAGTTTAAAGCGGAAGTTTAGACCATTGCCAGTAGCTTTAACGTAAACACGATTTCCGGTGGTTTCTAGTTCTGACGGTGTTACATTGCCACAATACTTTCCGTTCCCCAGCAAAGGCGAAAGCGTTTCGTGTCCATTTTTCAACTGGAATTATTTATAAATTATTTTAACACGTTGAAAATATTTGCCTTCATCATTCTTTGTTATTTAATGTGTATCAATTGACTAAACTACTTAATCCGAAAAGTATCACGCAAAACCGATAATATGATTACCAACCAGAAGATAATCATTGCCGCATGAATGATCGGACATTTCTTGTATCGACATCTCGACAATCTGTATTTTGATTGTTCTGCCAGCTTTTACCGTTATGTTCCACTCGCATGTAAAATGCCATGTGCGAATTACTCTCACAGAAGAATTGTCATACTCAATCACGCCGTTGGGTTCAGTTAACTGACCTCCGCAATCTGAATATTGGTAAAATTATTTGCCAGTATTTATCTGTGTTCAAAATAAAATTTTGTAAAAAAAGAAATTGAACATTAATAACCTCGATATACATATGCGTTGAAGCCGGTTTTATTGACAAACGTGTCCGTGTCGAACTTCACCGTCATCACATTGGTCCCTTTGATTAAGGTCATCGTGGAATTCGCCAGGCACAATTTACCTTCGAGTTTAGCATTGCTCGTCGACGTCAACGCGTATCCCGAATAAACGGAAACCGCATCCGCTACACAATTGCTAGTTTCTTCCAAATTCATGGTCATTATTCTCAACACCAAATGTGTTCCAGGTGGTGATGTGAAGACCCAATTGCAATGCAAATTGTCTGCATATCCGGTAGGCCAACCAGGAGAACTGAAGGCATACGTGTGGTTGCGATCGCCCATTAGAGCTATTTCCTTGTTACATTCTGACACTGTGGAGAAATAAATTTATTTAAATCGCGCCATTTGTGGGCACATGTGCTAACATAATTATTTTATTATAATATTCGGCATACGTTTCATATGAAAATGATGTGAATCTATAGTTTTAATATAATGCGCTTAATACTGCTTTGCGTTTATATTAAACACGCTATTTAATTAAATACATTATTAAATTTAACGTAATATGTCGCTGCTGATACATTGAAATTAACGTATCGTATTAACGCAGATTAAATCTTATTGCATGAAATAATCATTTTTGATAATAATAAAATGGTTATGCGTATATAATGCAAATATCTTACGTTTAATTTCCTTGTTAGTGCCTTGAGTGTCTCTTGGTATTTGAAGCCACGTAAGATCAAACAAACTTCCGTGCCTAATATAAGTGGATGACATTCTGATATAAATTACATTACTAGATGATTCTATTGGATCTGGCAGAGTGTAGCCGCAGACTTCTAACAGGCTTGGCGCTTCACTATCATATCCATCATATATCTAACAAAAAAAAAAAAAAAACAAATAAAATTTTAATTTTCTAAAATTACATAAAAATATTGCAAGTTTGTTAAGTGTAATCAAAATTAGACATAAATATTTAAAATTACGTATTTAGCTTTTAAGATATGCTTGTTATTTTAGATTCCGTTACATTCGATAAGAATATTTACATCAACGCTAGCGAAGCAGGATGATCCAATGTTTTCTATCTGTAAATCTTTAAATTCGATACGTATGACAGAATCCATTTCAACGGTGATGCGCCATGAAAACGTAAATGATCGTTTACAAGGCAACGGATACATTGGCGAGGTAATGCGTCCCATAGGTCCTTCGAGTTCGTTCCCTCCGACAAAAGTATATTCGGCCACGAAACCCTTAGCGGTGCCCGAACTATCGCTCTTAAACTTGATCCACAGACTATTAGAGGTTGTAATTGCCGTAGCGTCCTTGCCGCAAGAAACGCTAATGAGTTTTCCGATTCCGCTGTTCTCCCGTATTTCGAGGTAATCCAAATCGCAGTTTTCACTCGACTCGATATCGAACTCGGTGAACGCAAGAGTAAGCTTGTTGCCGGGTGAGGTATTTAGAATCCAAACGCATTCCGCGTTTAGGGGATAGCTGTTTGGATAACGCGGCGAGGTAATCGTTCCATATTCGGATGTGTAGTTTCCGCCGCAGGCTGAGAAACGGAAACAAAATTATAAATGTTTTCTCATGCAATTTCGTGTATGCCTTTTATAGATGTCGATTTCATTTGACGCACCTGTATTCAGGGAGGAATAAGACGCGGCAAAGTATCCCACAAACTCGTAATGCACGAATAGATGCAGCGTGAGCGAGCTTCCGGTACTCGTAATCGGCGGCGGTGTTTTATTGTTGCACCATTTTCCCAGAGACGGGCCATCCATGCCCTCGCCCTCAAGCACCTGAACATAGTCCCAATCGCAATCATCTTCATTGGGACTCAACGAGAAGGTTATTTCAAGCGGGTCGATATTCATATGCGTGAAAGTGATAGTTACGTGATCGTCTACAATACAAAAATAAAATATAATTATGAAAAATGTTTTAAATCATACAGAATAAAATAATTATAAGATTCAGGAAAAAAAAGACATGTATATAAGACAAAGTTGAATTGTGTTTACCTGGATTTTCAGCTATCAACGTCCACGTGCAATTAGTTTCCTCAATATCGCCGTTACTGACAGTTGGAGACGTAATAAAACCATAATCTTTCACGATTATGCGAGCACCGCAGGCTCTCGTATACTGAGCCTTGAAACCCTTTGCCGAAATTAAGTTATCGCTCTGCATAACTACTAACATCTGATTGCTACTTGAAACGTAAGACGGGGGCAGTTGATTACCACAATGCGTTCCGAGTAATAGATCATCTCTCGTTGATCCATCGAAGATCTATGAGAATGCAAGACAAGAATGTTTATTAGATCAAAATGAAAAAAATATTTATCAGAATTTCACATTTTTATGAGCGTCTTATTTTAAAAATTGAGATATACCTTGATAGAATCATCAGTGCAATTTCTACTGTTCTCAAAATCAAAGTCCAAGAATGTAAGGTTCACGACGTGATTCCTGTCGACTTCTATCTGCCATTCGCAATTCTGATTAAAAGGATAATTAGACGGATATTTCGCCGAATGAATGAAGCCTGAGTCTGTTACAAATTTACCGCCACATAGGAGAGGAACACTTCTGTAACTCGCATTGAATCCTCGACTAGCGTACGACGAGTCCGAGTGGAACTTTACGAACATTTTGTTCCCGGAACTAGTGTAGACCAGCGGCTTGTCCGAATAACAAAGCTGCGCTAATTTAAGCGTGTCCGCGTTCTCGCCATTGTAGATTTCAAGTTTGTCGAAGAGACATGATTTACGTTTTTCGGTATTTATCTGGAAAAGAAAAGTTTTTATTCTCAGCATTTTGGCAGCATTGATTCAACTTGGTATCAATTTTACTTATATATATCTTGTGTATACGTTTTTTTAAAAAAATGCACTTACGTCGTGAAAAGTGAGTTCAATACTGTACGTATGATCCACTTCAATAAACCATTCGCAGTCGATATTCATCGGATAAGTAGACGGATATCCAGGCGATGTGAATCCATCATTTGGTTTAGTTAAATATCCACCGCAACCGTGCACTTGCCATTCAAGCCGGAAACCAGTAGAGGCGATAAAAGAGTCCGTGAAAAATGTTATAAACACTTGATGTTGCAATGAACTAATTTTAAACGGGGAAGTGTAACTCCCACAGTATCGACCTAGTTCGGTGTTAGAAGTGTCCTGTTCGCCTTCCATAATTTGAACATAATCGAATACACAATTATGCGAGTTCATATCTTCGTCCATAGAGCCTCTTTCAAGGTCAAAGTGCGAGAAAGTCAAATTAATCGTGTTACCGATCGGTGCCTCAATAATCCAGCTGCAGTTCATTGAGTGTTCATATGTGTTAGGGTAATTCGGTGATTCTAACACGCCATAGTAACCACGCAGTTTGTTGTGACATTCTATATCATAAAAAAAACAGTTGACCACAGGTCATAATTAAAATGTAAAAAATAAGTCAAATTTTAAAAAGTAAAATAAAATTTAAAAAACACTATATTTATTATAATTACACTATATATATATTAATACGATACTTACGCGTTTCGTATTTCAGGTAGAAACCGCGGCCGCCATTACTGAAATCGCTACGAAACCGAATAGTCATATGATTGGATTTGGATTGAATAATCTTCGTATGGTTATTGTCACAATAACGTCTTCCATTTGTACGATAATTGATGCCGTCAAATATTTCAATAAAGTCATATCGACATGCTTTGTGTTGCTCAAGATCGAGATCCACTATTATGATTTGAATTAAACTTCCTGCTGCCACAGCGATCTTCCAGTAGCAATCCGCGTTCGTAGAATACGGCTCAGGGTAGTTTGGAGATATAATAGCTCCAGTCATTCCAGTCATCGTACCACCGCATCCTAAAATTGAATATACAAATTAAAAAATTGGCTATTATTTTTTTTATATCGACAATAGTTTCTCGCGTTTGCAATATTCTTTTGATATCTTAACAATGTTGTACTTTTATCCAGACTTCTGCATAATAAACAGTTTTTAATTGTAAATCGAAGAAACATATCATGCTGTTCAAACAATTGAAGTAATGTAGAACTTTATCAGAACTTCATGTATGCTTTTACCTTCTGTGGTACTGTCCCATTGTATTTCGAAGCCTTGCGACGATCTCGAGAAATCCGAAACAAATCTAATGTACAATTGATTGGTTTGACTTGGTATTTCATTAGGTATCTCTTGGCCGCAGTATTTGCCGATTAATGGCGCAGAATCGTATCCACCGTTTCTGAAATATGAGAAGTATGAAATATTAGTTTGTAAAAAATAATAAAATAAAACTTTTAAGTCATTTACCTAATTTCTAAATAGTCGAAATTGCACCACGTGTGTTTTTCCATATCAAAGCGATTGACTGTAAGCGTGATCCTGTGTCTGTTCGGCGCTTGGATAATCCAAACGCAGTCCTTGTTGTTTGGATACTCATCAGGAAAATTCGGTGATCTAATAACGCCGTTCGGTTTTGAATAACGACCGCCGCAGATCTTTTTTACGTCTGCAAAAATATATGTGGCGACGAATCCCTCGTGTGTGAGACTCGAGTCAGTGTGGAAAAGTATTGTAAGAGTACGATCCTGTGTCGTTATGTCGGGCGGTTTATTACTACCACAATATCTGAAATGTATAATTACAATATATAAAATAATTGCACGACATATACAATAATTGTGCATATTTTTCTACTTAAAACTAATGGAACTCTGTCAAACATACTTAGCTATTGCGTTTTCATTGGGTGAGGTGTAGTTTTCGTAAATATTAACATAATCATGACTACAATGACTATGACTTTCCAAATTAAATGACAACCAGGAGAGTTGTACTACATATCCTGGTGGTGCTTGAATAGTCCAAATGCACAGCTCGTCATCAGAATAATAACCATTTTCAGTAGGAGGCTGAATTATTCCGGTTTCTTTTTTCAACAGTCCGCCGCATCCTTAAAAACAATAATATTAATAATTACTTTGTTACTTTCTGCACTTCTGAAAAGTAACATTATAAATTTTAAGCCGAAACTTTGTTTCTGTTAAAAATTAACAGTGTTTTGCACTTTAATTGCCGCGTGTTATTTCCTTGCTAAGGTAATTTTATGTATATAATAAATTTATAACGTTTATAAATATTATATAAAAAATTAAATAATAAATTCCACACACAGGTTTACTCACTGCGATCAACGGTTGTGTAATTGGCTTTAAAGCCACGACGTTCGACAGAGTTATCAGTCTTAAACTTTATGTACATGTAGTTGTACGTGGAATAATAAGGAATGTCTGGAGTGTGCTCTCCGCATAATGTAGCAAGTTTTGTTGCATTTTCATTATCGCCATCGTAAATCTCCATATAATCGTAGTAACAATTTTGTGGATTTGTCCCTTCGATATCCAAGTCTTCTATGGTTAATATGATTCCTTTAGTGATCGGTTGCATAATAATTTCATAAATGCATGTTTTCGAGCTGTGATATGGATTCGGATAGAAAGGTGACGTGATAATTCCGGTTTCATCATGGAATTCACCGCCGCATAAAGTTTCGTACGATAATGTGAAACCTTCCCTTTCGTAAGACCAGTCAGATTTGAAGATTATAACTAAAATATTTGAGGTCGATTTGATCGCTGGCGGCAGATCTAATCCGCAGTATCTCCCGAGTAATTGAGAAAGCGTGTTAGGTCCGTCGTAAATCTAAAAGAATGTAAAATTAGGTCTAAATTCTTTCATACAAAATGCTGGAAAAAAATAAAAAATCACCTCGACATAGTCAAATTTACAACTAGTAGATGGCTCGAGATCAAATCGCAGCCATGATACTCTTATTTGGCCGCCTGCTGGCAACTGTATCTTCCACTCGCATTCCATGTTCGGTTGATAAACTGACGAATGGCCTGGTGAACTGATAGTGCCACTCTCACTAGTATAAGTTCCACCGCAACCAGGCGTACCTAAATATTTTTGTAAATTATTTTTGTGAAAAACATTTCCCAAATTGTAAAATTATCGAATTATTTATCAATTTTTGTATATAACTAATTAAAAAGTTGTTCCTGTAAATACCTTCAATCACCGAGTAATGAATTTGGAAGCCAGCATCTTCAGCTTCATTATTAGAATGAAAATGAATAATCGCTTGAGAACTCGGTGTAATCAAAGGCGGCGGACGAGTGTGATTGCAGTAAAGTCCTAAACGTTCATCGTCTGCGCCTTTAATCTGTGTAATACAAAATATGGAATCGATTTTGATGATAAATGCAAAAGCTTAAACATTATAAATTGCAAAATTCAATAACGTTAAAAAAATTAATAAAATATAACAAGTCACGTATGCAAGAAAAACATAGATTTTGTTAAACAGAGATTTAATCGCGCGCAAGCTAATCGACTCATGAAATATTTACCATCACATAATCATGTTCGCAATTTTCCTCGAGCATCATCAGTCCAAAGTGGAACTGAATTCTCTTCGAATCTGCAACGTTGATTCGCCAGATGCAATCTCTATTTGGAGGATATCGTCCTGGTGAACCTGGAGACGCAATTGTACCGTAATTATCCTCTAAAACACCTCCGCAAACAGGATTGATGGTGTTCCAATGGAAAGTGAATCCGTCGCTAGATACACTGTTATCCGAATGGAACCAAAGATAGAGCGCATTATGGGACGAGACGATATTCCCGTTTCCATTAGGCAGCGTAGAACCGCAGAATCTGTTGATCATTTGACTACCGGCATTTCTACCGTCATGAATCTAAAATGCATATATTACAGAAAAAATATAAACTCTCTTATTTATCTTGTTGTTTATATTCATATTAAAAATTTTGAGAACATAAAAAATTTAGATAATTTGTCAGAGTTTTTAAAACGGATTAAAAAACTCTTGAGGTAATTTTCTTATTAATCGCGTCTTGAAGTTATAAAAGTGTAAGTACAATCTAATGTAGACCAGCTTTAACAAAAATTTTACTCCCACACACACACACACACATCCTTAACTTTATTAAAAATATATTAATTAAAAAGTTTTTTAATTGCAAAATATGGTAACGCCGCACCTGTAGGAAATCGAATTTGCAACCTGTGGACTGTTCGAGATTAAAAGACGTGAAGGTGATGTTCAGAACCTTAGAAGGTTCCGTGATCAGCACCCAAGCGCAGCTTAATCCGTGTTGGTAAGTACTACCGCCCATAGGGAACTGAAGTACTCCCATGAGATTTCGTAGCACACCGCCGCACGTCTGCTGCGATATTTCGCACCTGCTGCCTGTGAAGCTAGACGAGCACTGACACGTTGCCTGTCCTTTTGAAACAACGCAAATGCCGTTGTTTCGACATGGATTTGGCGTACACGGATCAATCGGTACGTTGCATGTAGTTCCTAAAAATTAATATCAAAAGTATAAGTAAACAGCGATGCAAAATATGAAGTTAATGTCGCTAGAAAAAAATAATAGACACGCAATAATAGACACGTAAATATACAAAAATTGCTCAATTTTTAAATACTAAATAAAATAAAAGCTTATGTGATGGAACAATATAATTATTTATCGCAAATTTCAACGTCATATTTGACTTCGTAATTTACATTTGAAATTGACAATATTTGCGGCTAATGTGTGCATTCACCGAACGCGAATTAATTTCATATCTTACCTATTTGGTGACATGTAGGAAATAGAGCGTTACAGTTTACGAGTAAGTTCATGAACCCATTCCCTCTAATCCTCACCGGTAATACATACCTGTATATCCCGGATTGCATGTACAAGTGAAGCCATTCGCACCATTTGGCACGCATGTGCCATGAACGCACGGGTTGCTAGTACACACTGTATTAACTGATACAGCTAATTGACAGCCGTTCGGTCCCATTCCGTTACCATCATAACCCGCCGGACAACGACACAATACATAAGAACTTGTAAGCGATGGATTTTCGGTGCAGGTGGCTAATGGATGACATCCGCCGTTATTGATAGCGCAACCTCCGACAAAAATGCAGCTGACACCATCGCCACGATATCCTGGAGGACAAGCGCCGCACACTCTAGAACCCTGAAATTAAAATAGCTATAATATTAAATTATGACATTATTAATTTGGCTACTTTATCTCCTCACTTTTATCTTTAGAAAAATGTCAATATTTTTTTATGAAAAGATAACGGACGATACAATATTAATTACATTTTTATATACATATAATTTATATTCTGGTTTTTTTTACATTTAACAGCATAGATGCTTATATTATTCTAAGGAAAAGCGAGGCGATCGAAACAAAAATTTTATTCTAAAATCTGAAGATTGATAAATTTATTTGCCTTAACACGGCGATGTAGTTCTAATTTAATTTTAATTTTATTATTTGTCATAATTTTATTTCGCACGCACATTTCATAATGTAATATAACGTCTGTGTGCTTACCATTGTGTTCACGCATTGTACGAAAGGCGAAGTGCTGCAACCGCCGTTATTAATCAGACATTCGTCAATGTCGGTGCAATAATAGCCATTTCCACTATAACCGAGCGGACAGGCACCGCAAGTGAATGAGCCACGCGTGTTGCGACATGGTACTGGTGGATTTACGGAACAGGGCGGATGGTTCAATGCACATTCATCTACATCCTTGGTACAAGCTGGACTCGTACCGTCGCTTTCCCATCCCTAAGAACGATAAATAAAAGCATCAGTTATTTCCGCGACAAATACTACACGCAAACTCGCTTCTATTCGACATTTCTCGATGATTAAAACACAGTATTTAAGATAAAACATCGAGAAACGTACTTGATCGCAAATGCATGTGTATCCCAGTGGAGTGTTTTTTACGACACACACACCATGCTCGCCGCAAAGCGCTTCCGAGTTCTCTGTATTGCAAATCGATGTTTTCTGCGTGCAATGAAGGCCAAACCATCCCGGCAAGCAGTCGCACCTAATATCAAACCGATATTACATGCAAGTATATTCTGTACAATGCATCCGAGTAACATATCGTGCCTCCGCAAAATACAAATGTTGTCTGCCGAATTCGGTAAAATAATTCACAAAAAAAAAAATTTTTAATTATTCAATTTACTTTATCAGAAAATTAATTTTGCGAATTAAAATAAAATATTGGTCTTTCATTTTTCGTAGAAAAATAAGTTGATTTGAGATTTGTTTAAACGTCTGTAGTTATATTAATAATATTGCATACCGATAAGATCCAGGCAAATTACGACAAGTTGCTCCATTTTGACATCCAAGATCTGTGCCAACAAATCTCGCGCATTCGTTGACATCTGTCATACAATTTGGTCCCTAAAAATATCATAAATTAATTTTACAAAATACCAATGTACTCTCTTTATAATACGCATATATACCTCCCAATTTGATGGACAATGACACTGATAGCCATCAAAAAGGTCTGCACATGTACCATCGTTTTGACATGGATTACTCTGACACTCATTCTCTCGAAGTTTCTGACTTAGGATTCTCAGTGTGTTTTCTAGACTTCTAAGCTTAAAAATACATTTACACATTTTTAATCTCTATTTCTAATTATTATTTATATGTACAAACAAATTTATGAATAAAACATACTCGATTATTTATACGACGAATGCTGAATCTGGTGATACTTGGCAATGAAGGATTACTCTGAAAAGATATTATTTTGTAAATATTAACACAGTAAATATTATACGTAATTTATTTCTTATTTTACTTATTATTTACATATTTTATATTAATCAATAAATAATAATTTGATTAAATATACGTAAAAAACAATTAATTTAAATTGTAAATAGTTAATGCTATGTATTATATGATTTTTTTTACTTTTTCATATGTGAAATAATTTTTATCTTTTTTCTAGCATATTGATATTATTTGATGTTAGGTTAGGTCAGGTTACAAGGAAGTATGCCATTGCAAACTGTTGATTCAATATCGTACGTTCTTACCGGTATACGTGATCCATTGCCTGAACGAATCGTGCCGTTTCCATCAATGGCTCTTTCCAGCAGAGCGACCCTTCTCTGCAAACCTGTAGAGCCTGTCACTATAGTCGTTAGCTGGTGAAGAGAACTTTGCATCTGAGTCAAGTATCCCATTCGCCACCTGTCAATGACTCGTGTCGCATTTTGCGCCTAAAAACAACTGAAACCATTAGCCTCACAAATTCTATTTCAGTTATACTGAACAAATAGACGTTCGTTACCGCCGATGCTATGTGGAGCAGATTGATGTCATTGACATTCAAGCAACCGTCTCCTATTATTTTCAGAGTGATATTTCTGTCTTTTGCACTGGAGATTGTGAGGTGTCCATCTCGAGATTCCAGAACAGGCCTAAATTTTACGGGTTATTTACAAATTGTTTGTATATGCATTCATATAATTACAAAACTGAAATTTATGTAAAGAAATTAAATGTAACATTCTATTTCACAATTTTGTATTCTTTTGTAGATTCTTGACGTATCGATAAATCACTGTCAATGTGAAAGGATATTACTACAAATATTACAAATCTATAACAGTCTCCTTCAATTTGACATGTGATAGACGTCATACAAATGCAAATGATGAGGATATTATGCGAGATGCGGATACCGTCTTAGTGCGTTGTACAAACTTAGTAAAGAGAATACCTCTCGTCCATCCATGCCACGCAGAGACCCAAATGTAATAACAGGAACCATCGTAATGTGGAAGCCATGCCAGCGGCAACTTGGAATTCCGTAAACTAAATATTATCCTGTCATATCTTGTTGGACTCTCATGGAACACTTACTGAAAAGCCAGGTTGTGGCAGACTGATCCGTGAGATCGTCATTCTGGGTATCTATATCTCTGAGTGGGCGTATTCGGAAGATTTATCAAAATCCACCCAATATATCGATTACAACCAGTTTATAGGAGAAGTGACAGTATAGATGTTTATAAAACAGCAAGAAATAAAAGTTTTATTTTTACTCTTTAATTAATTAAATTTTTGATTTATTGCTTATATTCTAAATAAATAGTAAAAAAATAAGAAAAGCAGAGGCATAAATAAAACTATAATAAACAAATTTCTAACATTTTTAGAATATAAAGTTTTTATTTAAATTAAATTTCTTTGTTGTGTTAATATTTTATGAATAATAAAGATTAGAACAAGATGTATTATATTTATATAAATTGTATTTTGTATATATCTGTTACATAAACAAAATTTTTTCTATTAATCTTATATTTTCGATATCTATAAAAGATTATTATTATTCTAAAAATTAAAATAGTTAAGCATGTAGCAAATAGTAAATTTATATTATTACATGCATTAAATTTATATTTATTTTTTATAAATGTTTTTATTATTTCTTTTATCGATAATTATTGTAAATTCTCAGGATATAAGCTGAATTATTATATGGATTATATTTTAGTTCGATTAGAAATTAATTGTACAGTAAACACAAATGATTTTTAAGTGATACAATAAGAAAATAATAAAATAGAATATAGATATAATAATTAATACGCTTGATAATGAGAATAATTTACTGTTTATTATTTTGAAAATTTAAATATGACATGTGATGAACGTAACGTTTAATGTGACGTCACGAGATCTGTTTACTTCACAGTCATCTGTGCGCGGGAATATGGCGATAATGTTCGTTGCAAGTGAACGTCGTTCTGTGTTACACGAATGTTTTGTCTCGTTCCAAATAAGTCTACGCGTAAACACCAGTCAAGGATGATCGCCGGAAGGTGTTTATTAGCATGTATGATATGATTGCGAGTCTTTCGACACTTGTAAAGCCAATCGTCTCGTTGTATCGTACTCTGCTCGCCTAATGTCGGAGCGTTGTCGCGAGGCTACCTTCTTTTTTCGATCTTCTAAACGTATCTGGCGAGTTTCGGAAATATAAAATTGAACAATAGGCGATCAACATCGGGTATTAATAAGTCGATACGATCGCGATTTAGTTTTTCCATATTTGTAAAATCCATGTCAGTTGCATCGGACATTATTTGCCGAGTCATCGATGTGAAGTTGCTTTATTGCTTTCATCGATAGTAACGAGAATGTCGAACGACATTACGGACGATCGTCGCATTTCGCGTTTGTGTTCGTATAGAAGTACATCGCGCTTATAATCGTGTGTTACGAGTGTCGTGTGCATTGCCGGTCAACGTGATAATAAAAGCAAGTGATAATAATTAGCCCTTTCAAATAATCGAGTCGACCCTTTCAATAATATTTTTGTCTCACAATGCTGCTCTGTTCGAGATAGTCGATGCGCGATGCAGAATTATTTAATGGAGAATTATTTAATCGTTCTGCGTTTGATTGAGTTCGTATTGGAATCATCGCGTTTGGAATCATCGCGCAATTTCGTATTGAGGATGCGTCGCGCTCGTAAAATTCGGGAGTGCCGTGTAAATCGTGTGATCGGACGTATATGTGAAAAGTGAAAAGTAGTGCCATGCAAATGTGTTGAGACAAGATAATTGGAGCAAAGCCGAAGCCAGCGGATCGCAACAGCGGCGGCGCCAAGAAATGTAACAGCGAGATATTCACCGGTGAGTGCATTTTAATATATTACATTTGTTTCGGATTTCTTAACATATTTTTAGCTTTGCGTCTGAAACATGGCGCCTCTTTGCGCGCGAATCCATGTAGTTTAGTTAGGCACGCCATCAATAGATGGCGACGCTCAAGCGAGGGCGCTCGGCGAGCATTACAGTCCTTGCATCTGGCCAGCTTCGGCAGTATGGCTTCGGCTGCCGGTACGTGCGTATTGTGGTGTTTTGTGGCGTTACGCCGCGTTCTCGGTCGCGGGTGTGCGTGCTCTGTTTCGTGAGAGAAAAGGATTTGCGGTGAGGAGGCTTACCATTGGGAATCAGTCGGGTGGGCGAGAAACGTGAGACGCGAAATAACGTGAGCCGGGAGCAGTCATGCGGCGAAACGTCAAGATCGCATTGCTCGTGTCATGCGCGTGGATGTTCGCCTTTGTTTACTACTACCACACGTCCAGAGATACCAAGGTAAGGCATCATTCACGTCAGCTGGCCCTATGTTTCATGAGGTTTCATGGAAAATCAGTAATACATCAAACAATGTCATCGATGTAATATCTGCCGTGCATGATAGAAATCGTTCGCACATTGCTTAGGTTATGTATTATCTTATGTTCTGTAAAATGTTATTAGTATTTTGTTTGTGTTCTTTTTTCATACTATGAAACTGTTAACGCAACATATAAGTTAATGAGTAATAATACTTTGAGTAATAATACTGCAATAAATAAATACGAGAAACTAATTTGTTTAACGCATATTCAAATGCGAATTTTCAGTAGTAAAATAAAACTACTTTGAAATACTCTTGTTGCAAGTTTAAATTTTCAAATAACGTCAAAATATATTTGTTGTGTGTGTTTAATAATTTTTCAAATATATACATATATATATTTTCATAATCAATTTAGTGTATATCGGCACATTTTTTATTTTTCTACTTATTTTGATCACAAGCTTGTAAAAAATATGTGCACGTGAAATCAATATTTGACAAACATATATATATATATATATATATATATATAATTATGTATATATGGTGTATATACATATATATATATATATATATATATATATATATA